AAGCTCTGATGCTTAGGAAGAAGTTGTATCAAGTGCACTTTTGATTTATGGTGTCTGCAGCTTCAACAGTGGGTTTATTGGGACATAACCCCATTGTATAGGGAGAAAAATCTGTATGTTATTAGGCCTCCTGTCAGGTGATTTTAGTCTTTTTGAAAAAGAAGAGCTGCATACACACCCAGCGTCTTCCAAACAAGATGTGGCTTGCCCTTGGCCTCTTGCCTGTCCACTTTATTATTACAATTAGCAGAGATCCGATCTAAGGTCAAAGAGCAGGAGAATGTGCCCTATCCTACCTGGGCTGCTTGTGGTGGTTGTGAGCTAGTGTTTAACTAATGTGGCTTCTTCTTGCTTTTTAAATGGAGATACAATTGCCATATAACATAGTAGCTTCAAGCGTACTGATTGTTCATTATTGATGCTAAACACAGCATTCCGAGAAAACCACAAGCCCAGGAAGGGTTGTCCCTAGAGCTTGTGACTCTGTGCTCACTGGACTGCATTATAGTGAGCGTGTGTCAGTTCAGGGGCCACAGATGGAACGTGATGGTCCAGGATCCAGCCCCCTCCCCGAAATTCTTCCCTGATACTTCACAGACATTGCAATTCCTGAATGTATGTAGAATGGAGGATGGGAACAAATGACACCTTGGCCACTAAAGTATCAGTAACATGGAACAAAGGGTTTGGTTTCACTTTTCTGCTCAGCCCAGTCCCCATTTCTGTTATCTGGAGGGGAAGGAATTAGGGGAGGGACAAACAGCCTTCCAAACTTTTCGATTTTAGATGGACAGGTTTTGGGTCCAAAGTATATTAAGACTACAGATGCCTTTATCGAGGCATTTCCATCAGGTCGTATCATACTTGGGCAGTAGGTTGACTAATGGTGTGAGGTTTTTTGTTTTTGTTTTTTCAAATCTTTACATCTCTCTTTGTCTTTGTAAAAGTTCACTGGCAAGTTGGGGACAGCTGAATCAGGAAATCTGAATAGCTTTCTTAAATGACACTTGGAGGTCCACAGACCCTAGTATTCCCAGGATACAGTAAGAGGGTCTGAAGGAACATAGAATTTGGGCCTTTTGTGCATAAAGGGTTCCCAAGAGTTTGGTGGCAGCTCAGATTCTTGTTTGCAGAGCCGCTGTTGAATAATAGACATCAGAGGATGACTCCTGAGGCATGTTCTTTGTGGAAGCAGGGCTATGGTCTGGGTCTCAGCCACCGGCTCAGAGGTCAGGAGAGAGTCGGAGGGAGAATCCTAGTCAGAGCCTCGGCCTCTGCCCTGTGGGCTGCTCACAAACAGCTGTCTCCCTGGCTCAGGCAAGTCCCCTGTCCTTCTGGGAGGACAGACATCTTGGAGTCCCCACATGCTCTCTTCACAGCTGCGGCAATACCGTTTCCTTCCTTTTTTCTCCTTGGGGGAATTTGGAGTAGCGGATCTCACTGAATATTCCGAGTCTTTGGAGGTCTATTTGAGGTTAGTCAGTAAAGCGTTAAGAAGACCATTGGCTCACATGACTTGAGTTTAATTTCTGGATCATTTTACTTTACTTGATTTATTTTTTCATTAGTCTTATCACCACCTGAGACATAGTTTTATTTGTTTCTCCCACTAGAATATAAGCCCATTCCAGGCCTGGGTGTTTTTTGTTTTCTCGATTCTGCTTTTTTTGAACTGTATCCCCATTACGTAGTGCAGTCAAATAAATTAGTAATGAAATAAATGAATATTATTGCATGAGGGTTATTTCCTGATTTATTTATTTATTTTTGTTTTTCTAAATAACTCTGAAATGAACATCTTCAGGTTTTCATTATCTGCAACTCCAGTGTGGACATCTGCTTTTGAATCATTTCATAAGATACATCACTTGAATGCAATTGTTAAGTCAAAGTTGTAACAATTTTTTTTGGCTCTTGATAGGCCTCCATAAACTGCTTCCAAGGATATCCTGCGAGTTATCAGTGTCTCCATAAATGTATTTGTAGTTTTTAACTTTACTAATTTAATAGACACAAAATAACAATAATTTAATTGTTAATTTTAATTAAATTACTAATTTCAATTAAATTATTAACTTAATTTCAACTTGTTTGATAATGTTACTATACTTCTTGTAATGCACCCTTAATCCATTATAGAAAAGGAGGAATAAACAGCATTCCTCCATTTCTCTATATTTAATTTCTTAAGTATTATTAGGTATTATGAATCATTATTTCTAGAAGATATTTGGCTATTCAAGAAAAACTATTCCTGGGCATCTGGTTAAGCACCAAGTGGGAATTCAGCTAAATAGTAGGTGGCCATTCTGCTGTCCGCAGCTGCCATGCTTCTCCCACCTGGTCTGCCTTCTCTCCCGTCCTGCAAGCTGCGTTTCAGCTTTTATCTTCCTTTACTTTTCTTTGACCCAACTAATACCATAAGCCCTGGACAGGGAAGGTGGCTGCAAGAGCACCTGGGGTGCTGTGGACTTAAGAGGTGACTCAGAGTAGGGGCAGGAGAGGAGAGTGAGTCTCTAGGAGGTGATGTCAGGGGTGATGTCTATCAGTTCTGTCCTGATGGCACCTAGAATGGCCCCTTTAAGCTCCGCTTCCTAGCATGGCACAGGGAAAGTATATGAATGAATGGAGTTTCCGGTTCATCCAAGCCTCTGTTCTCTGCTCTCCCTGTAGTGGAGCGACTCACTCCATCTCTGCTTTTATCTGTCTCTGGTTTGGCCATCCTCTGATCTTTCCATCTAAGATAGATACCACCTCGGAGGGCTTCTCTCATCCTTGCTCGGATGGGAATTCTTTTTCTCTGCTTTATTTCAGGACTTCCTCTTTTTACTCTCAAGACCTTCTCAGATATTACTTTACCCTAAAATTGGAGATGAGATTCTTTACTATTGCAGACACTGAAACCCCCCCACCCCTCAAATGTCAAATTTTGGAGATTCTCACCTCAAATTCTAAAATCTGCAATTTACTAAGATTTACTCAGCAATAAGGGCAGAATGAATGAAAACTTAAGGTTCTTAGTAGTTTTTGCTTGACTTATATTCACATATTGAGAAGTGGGAAATAATTTAAAGGTATCGGGGAGGTGGTGTTTGGATTCAGAACTGCCTCTCCTTTCTGTTTCAGGTTTGGGCTTAGGAATGTTTGGACCAAGGGACGAATTTTCTGTGCACCCAAATATATGTGCCTATATTCTTAATGTAGTTAAGATATCATTTCATGATTGTCAGGAGGAAGCAGAAGGAATTATGGACATGCAGGTCATCAAAAGTTAGTGGAGGAAATGCTTTCTAACTTGGCCGCTATGGCTCCCCAGCCATGATGAGTGCCAAACTGCTCCTCCCGTCCTGCAAGCTGCGTTTCAGCTTTTATCTTCCTTTACTTTTCTTTGACCCAACTAATACCATAAGCCCTGGACAGGGAAGGTGGCTGCAAGAGCACCTGGGGTGCTGTGGACTGAAGAGGTGACTCAGAGTAGGGGCAGGAGAGGAGAGTGAGTCTCTAGGAGGTGACGTCAGGGGTGACGTCTATCAGTTCTGTCCTGATGGTACCTAGAATGGCCCCTTTAAGCTCTGCTTAAAGCCAGAAACAGACTCCAGCATTTCACTCAGGAATTCCAGTCTTGGAACACCAAGTAGCAAAATAAAGAATGGGGTCACTTTGTGGGAACAGAGATCTAGCCCCTCCATGGGTTTGAAATATGACAGTGCTTCTTAATGTTAATGAGAGTAATTTAGGGCTTGTGTGACTGTGTAATTGCAAAGTGTATTGCTATATCCAGAATAAAGATGTAACTATAGCATAAATCACTATTGTATTCACCAGTGAGAATGTAGTGAATAAAATTACTAATAGTGGCAATGCATTAAAATAAACTATGATTGATTTGGTATCAGTTTGCCTTGGAGGTTCACACAAACTAAGTGGCTTTGAGTTTCCCTATAATGCACCATGGTTCACTCCTTTTGCAGAATCAAATTTGGCTGGGGTAACGGGATCATAGGAAGCTGGATTTTTCTCTGAGAGACAGAGTTTCCAAGTCCTTGCCTTGAATATATTTTGACATAAAAACCTTGGATTTTAACAAGCCTTTTCTATCTTTCTCCCTTTTGAAATCGTTCTGCAGGTAGAGCTGTGAGCTGACTGTAAGAATTTGCTCTGGCTTTTATCTATGCTCTTCTAGGCTTAGAAAACCTGTCAGAATAATATACAGTGAGGAAATCACCCTTACCAGTCTCAAGCAGTCCTGGCCCTTGATTCATCAAACCAAATGGATCCAGTGGAGGCTGAACTTGTAGACAGGAAATTTCTAGAGTGTTGATTCAACAAATATTTGGTCAATAAATGTTTATTGAAGATCTAATTGGGTGCCGGATACTATTCTAGGAGGTGGGAGCGCAGCCATGTACAGCAGAAATCCCTGCCCATATGTCAGCCCCATTGCAGCAGACACCGACAACTAGAAACTGAACAAGCAACAGTAGAGAACAGCCTATCGCGTCAAGTAGATGGGTGCTGTGCAGAAAAGCAGACAGTGTAAAATAACGGAGAGGAATGGAGTTGTGCTGTTTTACAGAATTTGCTCAGGGAAGGTTGAGCTTAGAAGGGGACACCTGAGCAGAAATTTAGAGGGAGGGAGAAAACTGCAGATATTCTAGGTGAAGAGAAGTAAATGATTTAGGTGAAGAAAATAATTGCTAATATTGGAATTATCAGACACTTCACAAATGTGTTCCCTTTCTTCCTTTTCATTGATCGGTAGGTGCCTTTATCATCCCAAGCATTTCAAATGTGTTTGTTACTTTGAAAATGGTCCTGATACTAGTTTAGTTTTCACTTACAAACTCTACACGTGTGAGTTGAGTTTTCCAGTCACGACCGGCCTATAGGAAGGTCCCCCCATATCCAGCTCTCTGTAGAAAACATTTTAATTTAAAACAATAGAGTTTGTGAAATAAATAACGCCAATAACACCAGCCTTTTTGGTTTTTATTAAACAGGGAATCATTCCAGTCTGTGCACAAGAAAAAGGCAGCTGGGAATAGAAGGAGCAGAGGCCTGGATTCAGAAGACTTGAGTTTAGACCTTCTTACTTCCTTTTAACTATCTGTGGTTTGGGGTAAGTCATTCCACTTTAGATACCCAATTTAATCTGTAATAAATGAAAACTGGTGTGTGTCAGGCACGCCATGCTGAACATTTACACCCTGTGTTCTCCAAGCAGCCCTGACAGGTAGAAATTAACACCCCCAATTCAGAGGTAAGCATGTGCACCCTCTGTTTCCTCGCTTTCCCATCTTCAGGCACTATGGGAAAGCGCTCTGTGAGTTGTAAGGTGCTAAACCAGTGATCAGTTAGTAGGCCTGGTGCAATACCAGACTTCTCACACTACAGTGTGCGTATTCCTGGCGTCATGAGGCTACCGGATAGAGCTGACTGTGTTCTCTTGGGCTATAAGTTTTACCCTACAACAAATACTTTGGAGCATTTTTTAAGTAAACATATTGTAGAATAAAATGCAAATTTTGCATATACAAATTTAAAAAAATCAGAAGCAGCTGAGCCTTCATTTTCTTACATCTAAAATGCACTCAAATATCATTATAAGAAGGTGAAATTCTTACAAAGAGGAAGGACACATCTTGAGCTGACTACCTGGCACATCGCAGACACTTCACAAATGTGTTCCCTTTGTTCCTTTCGTTGATCAGTAGGACTGTTTGGGTGCCTTTATCATCCCAAGCGTTTCAAATGTATTTGTTACTTTGAAAATGGTCCTGGTAATAGTTTAGTTTTCACTTACGAGCTTTACATGTGTGAGTTGAGTTTTCCAGTCACGACTGGCCTATAGGAAACAATAATAAGGCCGTATTCATAGTCCTAATTCAGAATGTATTAACACTGACCCTACTGACTTGGGTATCAGGCTCCCCTAAAAGGCACAATCGTTTATTTTCAGCTCATAAATATTCTTTTTTGTTCTTTGGCTTGTGTCTTCCACCCTCTATGTGGTTGCTCTGGAAGTCACTACTTACTAGTAATGTCAAACATGTTTTTTTTATGTTGACTGGACATTCGAGTACATTGCTGATTCATACTTTTTGCCCACTTTTCAGATAGATTATCTTTTTCTAATTGATAAGGTGGTTCTCCATATATTACGACTGCAGAACCTCCCTTAATTATATACATTGCAGATATCTTTACAATTTGGGGCTTGCATTTTTACTTGGTTTACTGTGTGTATTTTTTCTTCCAATAAAGAAATTTAGGATGTGCAGGCAATTAAATCTGGCCACAGTTTCCGTGCTGGCTTGTCCTTTTGTTCCTTGTTTAAGAAACCCTCTCCTAACCCAGTGTAATGAGATTCTCTTCTGTGTTCTTCAACAGCGTTACTATTCTTAATTTAAGTATTTACCCACCTAGATAAATATTTTTGTGTATTATGTGAGATAAGGATTCGATAACATAATCTATATTATCCCATATAGATTGTCATTAGTCCCAACACTTTTATAGTTACCATTCATTCTTTGTGACTTACAGTGCCACTGACATACCATGTTTTCATGTATATGTGTTTCCGTTCCCATATTCTCTACTTATTCCTTGTTTTTTCTCTGTACCCATATCAAATTGCTTTAATTATTATATAATTATAGTAAGTGTTGATATCTAATACAGATGATACTTCCTAATAAATACCTTAAGCTTGTTTTGGGCATTTTTAAAATTCTTTCATGTAGGCTTTAGGGTCATCCTGATAAATTGTTCAGAAAGCCCATTTTATGAGGTTTTGCATAGAGTTTACAGGCTTATTTGAAGAGTTGCCATTTTTATTTTGCTGAGTCTTCCTATTCAAAATGTCACATATATCCTCATTTATTTAGGTCTTCTTATAAATCTTTCAGTAAAGTTTACAATTTTATCTTTAGAGGTCTTATATCTTTCATTAGATGTTTTTAAGTACTTTGTAGTTTTGCTGTTATTGGAAATTCTATTTTTTTTATTCAAGATTTTTGTCTGTTGGAGTCTTGTTGAAACGAAAGAATGCAGTTTTTGTATATTAATCTTATATAGAGAAACACTGAATTATTTATTCCAAATATTTTGTGTGTTATTTTGGATATTACACATAGGGTAATTATCACAATGTAGAATTGCTAACAAGATAGAAAAATCAGTAGAACACAATAAAGAATTAAGAAATTTACCCCTTACATAAAGACAACGGATTTTCAAGAAAGGCTCAAAAGCAAGTTGGTGGAGAAGAGTCTTTTCAACATGATTCTCAGAAAACCATCTGTGTGCAAAAAAAAAAAAAGCACCTTGAATTGTACCTCACACCACATTCACCGTCACTCAAAGCAGATAATAGACCAAAGTGTAGAAACTCTGAACTATACAATTTCTAGAGGAAAATATAGGAGAAAATCTTTAGATCGTGAGTAGGCAAAGATGTCTTAGAGGGGACACCAAAAGCACAGTCCTTGAGAGAAGAAATTGATAAATTGGACTTCAAGTGTACAAATATGACAAAAGGTGTCGCATTGAGAACTTTAAATACATGCACTTTGTGGTATCTCAGTTACGCTTCAATAAGTTGGTTTAAAAATTACAGGTAGCATGTACGCAGGTCCCTGAGAATTGCAGAGGCCCTGTGTCACCCCAGAAGGGTGCCTCTCAGGGCAGTAGTGAACCTCTTGCTTAGGAAGTCCTTACTTATAATTCAGCTAAAGGGCCTTCACTGTACAGTAAATATTGGGTGCATTTTCTCTTTAAAAAGACATTAACCACCGTCATGCTTTATTTGGAATGTGAGATTCCCTTTTGGTGGTGTGACGTTGCATGCTTTGGGTTTTTTGTAGGCTGACCCCAGAGTTGTGAGATGGAAAGTAAATACAGAGAAATCCTGTTGTTAATCGGCCTGGATAACATCACTGATGAGGAACTGGACAGATTTAAGTTCTTTCTTCCAGATGAGTTTGAGGTTTCCGCAGGTAAACTAGAAAATGCAAGCAGGACGGAGTTAGCTAACCTGATGATCCAAAACGTTGGTGTCGCCTCTGCCATGCAGAAGACCATACGGATTTTCCAGAAGTTGAATTATAGGCATGTGGCCAAATGCCTTCAGGAAGAGAAGGAAAAAGGTACTGTGGCAGTGTTCTCCCCTTCCCAGGGCTCTTTTGCCTAGTCTGGGCTTTAGTGAAGACCCCTCATGCATGTTGGACTGTTTTTGCTAACTTAGGGCTCTGCCCGTGGACCCCCTTTGACTGTGAATCGTTAGGAGGGGTTTGCGCAGATTCCACGATTTATCCGTCATCTCCTGCTCCCGTTACCACTTCATAATCTTCGCCAGTTGCCTGGCCTTGCCTCTGGTCTGCTTGCAATGGGCAAGGACCCAGGACCTCCATGTTGAGTTCTTAAGTGCCATCTACACAAGTCTGTGATGTGCTCAGGTTGCACTGAAGGTGTGACACAGCATGAGGAGATGATAGCACTGAGCCATTGTCAACTGGGGTATTAAACACGTTTCCTCCTCCGCGTAGTCTGTCCCTTCCTTTCTGTGCCCCCAGCCTGTCTGAGCGGGTGCCCTTCAGTGGGAGTGTCCTATTCACAGATAAAACAATAGAGTTTGTGAAATAAATAACGCCAATAACACCAGCCTTTTTGGTTTTTATTAAACAGGGAATCATTCCAGTCTGTGCACAAGAAAAAGGCAGCTGGGAATAGAAGGAGCAGAGGCCTGGATTCAGAAGACTTGAGTTTAGACCTTCTTACTTCCTTTTAACTATCTGTGGTTTGGGGTAAGTCATTCCACTTTAGATACCCAATTTAATCTGTAATAAATGAAAACTGGTGTGTGTCAGGCACGCCATGCTGAACATTTACACCCTGTGTTCTCCAAGCAGCCCTGACAGGTAGAAATTAACACCCCCAATTCAGAGGTAAGCATGTGCACCCTCTGTTTCCTCGCTTTCCCATCTTCAGGCACTATGGGAAAGCGCTCTGTGAGTTGTAAGGTGCTAACCAGTGATCAGTTAGTAGGCCTGGTGCAATACCAGACTTCCCACACTACAGTGTGCGTATTCCTGGCATCATGAGGCTACCGGATAGAGCTGACTGTGTTCTCTTGGGGTATAAGTTTTACCCTACAACAAATACTTTGGAGCATTTTTTAAGTAAACATATTGTAGAATAAAATGCAAATTTTGCATATACAAATTTAAAAAAATCAGAAGCAGCTGAGCCTTCATTTTCTTACATCTAAAATGCACTCAAATATCATTATAAGAAGGTGAAATTCTTACAAAGAGGAAGGACACATCTTGAGCTGACTACCTGGCACATCGCAGACACTTCACAAATGTGTTCCCTTTGTTCCTTTCGTTGATCAGTAGGACTGTTTGGGTGCCTTTATCATCCCAAGCGTTTCAAATGTATTTGTTACTTTGAAAATGGTCCTGGTAATAGTTTAGTTTTCACTTACGAGCTTTACATGTGTGAGTTGAGTTTTCCAGTCACGACTGGCCTATAGGAAACAATAATAAGGCCGTATTCATAGTCCTAATTCAGAATGTATTAACACTGACCCTACTGACTTGGGTATCAGGCTCCCCTAAAAGGCACAATCGTTTATTTTCAGCTCATAAATATTCTTTTTTGTTCTTTGGCTTATGTCTTCCACCCTCTATGTTGTTGCTCTGGAAGTCACTACTTACTAGTAATGTCAAACATGTTTTTTTTATGTTGACTGGACATTCGAGTACATTGCTGATTCATACTTTTTGCCCACTTTTCAGATAGATTATCTTTTTCTAATTGATAAGGTGGTTCTCCATATATTATGACTGCAGAACCTCCCTTAATTATATACATTGCAGATATCTTTACAATTTGGGGCTTGCATTTTTACTTGGTTTACTGTGTGTATTTTTTCTTCCAATAAAGAAATTTAGGATGTGCAGGCAATTAAATCTGGCCACAGTTTCCGTGCTGGCTTGTCCTTTTGTTCCTTGTTTAAGAAACCCTCTCCTAACCCAGTGTAATGAGATTCTCTTCTGTGTTCTTCAACAGCGTTACTATTCTTAATTTAAGTATTTACCCACCTAGATAAATATTTTTGTGTATTATGTGAGATAAGGATTCGATAACATAATCTATATTATCCCATATAGATTGTCATTAGTCCCAACACTTTTATAGTTACCATTCATTCTTTGTGACTTACAGTGCCACTGACATACCATGTTTTCATGTATATGTGTTTCCGTTCCCATATTCTCTACTTATTCCTTGTTTTTTCTCTGTGCCCATATCAAATTGCTTTAATTATTATATAATTATAGTAAGTGTTGATATCTAATACAGATGATACTTCCTAATAAATACCTTAAGCTTGTTTTGCGCATTTTTTTAATTCTTTCATGTAGGCTTTAGGGTCATCCTGATAAATTGTTCAGAAAGCCCATTTTATGAGGTTTTGCATAGAGTTTACGGGCTTATTTGAAGAGTTGCCATTTTTATTTTGCTGAGTCTTCCTATTCAAAATGTCACATATATCCTCATTTATTTAGGTCTTCTTATAAATCTTTCAGTAAAGTTTACAATTTTATCTTTAGAGGTCTTATATCTTTCATTAGATGTTTTTAAGTACTTTGTAGTTTTGCTGTTATTGGAAATTCTATTTTTTTTATTCAAGATTTTTGTCTGTTGGAGTCTTGTTGAAATGAAAGAATGCAGTTTTTGTATATTAATCTTATATAGAGAAACACTGAATTATTTATTCCAAATATTTTGTGTGTTATTTTGGATATTACACATAGGGTAATTATCACAATGTAGAATTGCTAACAAGATAGAAAAATCAGTAGAACACAATAAAGAATTAAGAAATTTACCCCTTACATAAAGACAACGGATTTTCAAGAAAGGCTCAAAAGCAAGTTGGTGGAGAAGAGTCTTTTCAACATGATTCTCAGAAAACCATCTGTGTGCAAAAAAAAAAAAAGCACCTTGAATTGTACCTCACACCACATTCACCGTCACTCAAAGCAGATAATAGACCAAAGTGTAGAAACTCTGAACTATACAATTTCTAGAGGAAAATATAGGAGAAAATCTTTAGATCGTGAGTAGGCAAAGATGTCTTAGAGGGGACACCAAAAGCACAGTCCTTGAGAGAAGAAATTGATAAATTGGACTTCAAGTGTACAAATATGACAAAAGGTGTCGCATTGAGAACTTTAAATACATGCACTTTGTGGTATCTCAGTTACGCTTCAATAAGTCGGTTTAAAAATTACAGGTAGCATGTACGCAGGTCCCTGAGAATTGCAGAGGCCCTGTGTCACCCCAGAAGGGTGCCTCTCAGGGCAGTAGTGAACCTCTTGCTTAGGAAGTCCTTACTTATAATTCAGCTAAAGGGCCTTCACTGTACAGTAAATATTGGGTGCATTTTCTCTTTAAAAAGACATTAACCACCGTCATGCTTTATTTGGAATGTGAGATTCCCTTTTGGTGGTGTGACGTTGCATGCTTTGGGTTTTTTGTAGGCTGACCCCAGAGTTGTGAGATGGAAAGTAAATACAGAGAAATCCTGTTGTTAATCGGCCTGGATAACATCACTGATGAGGAACTGGACAGATTTAAGTTCTTTCTTCCAGATGAGTTTGAGGTTTCCGCAGGTAAACTAGAAAATGCAAGCAGGACGGAGTTAGCTAACTTGATGATCCAAAACGTTGGTGTCGCCTCTGCCATGCAGAAGACCATACGGATTTTCCAGAAGTTGAATTATAGGCATGTGGCCAAATGCCTTCAGGAAGAGAAGGAAAAAGGTACTGTGGCAGTGTTCTCCCCTTCCCAGGGCTCTTTTGCCTAGTCTGGGCTTTAGTGAAGACCCCTCATGCATGTTGGACTGTTTTTGCTAACTTAGGGCTCTGCCCGTGGACCCCCTTTGACTGTGAATCGTTAGGAGGGGTTTGCGCAGATTCCACGATTTATCCGTCATCTCCTGCTCCCGTTACCACTTCATAATCTTCGCCAGTTGCCTGGCCTTGCCTCTGGTCTGCTTGCAATGGGCAAGGACCCAGGACCTCCATGTTGAGTTCTTAAGTGCCATCTACACAAGTCTGTGATGTGCTCAGGTTGCACTGAAGGTGTGACACAGAATGAGGAGATGATAGCACTGAGCCATTGTCAACTGGGCTATTAAACACGTTTCCTCCTCCGCGTAGTCTGTCCCTTCCTTTCTGTGCCCCCAGCCTGTCTGAGCGGGTGCCCTTCAGTGGGAGTGTCCTATTCACAGATGCTTTCCTCCTCACTCAGAGATCCTTTCTTCTCCATCCCTTCCACGGATGGCAATCCGCATTCCCCACCAAAAAAGGCTGTTTTCTTCTATTGGTCAGTAAATCACTGAGCGTCGGCCTCTGAAGTACCTGCCTTTGGTTTATATCCCTGATTGTGTTCCCTAAGAGCAGTCGGTCCATCCTGGCTGGACAGCTGAACGACTGGAAAGAACCATCAGAGGAGCACCCCACCCAATAAGGACCTCCTCCCAGTGAGTCTCTACATGTGGCAGTTTTAGGATTCTACATGCAAATCTAACAGCAGCAATTACAACAGCTTTTATAGAGTATTTGTGTGTGTCCAGCATGGATAACATGGCTTCTCACACAGGATTTCTGTGACAGATAAGTGATAAATAGAAGTGATGACAGAAGCATGTGGGGCTACCCGGATGAACTGCTGGGCAGCGTCTAAGGCACTTTACAGAGGGGGCTGGTTGTGTAGGGCATGTTTTCATCGGCTCTCTGAAGTTAGAAGGTGTAGGTCTTAGAGGTGGCCTGAAGGTGGCAGTAACTACACACAATGTCCCAAGGAACGCTCAGCCCGTGTGTGATCTAAGCCAGGGATCTAAAAGTCGTCAAACAGGCTGAAGATATTTAGGGATGTCTCTTATTTTTTCTCTCAAATCAGAAACTCATTCTTCTTTCAGTCTAGGAGAACGCCAAAGCATTTACCCTACTGCAGTCTTACCTCTATTTTGCTATGATGATCCTAGGATTGGTAATTTTTGGAATTTTAGGAAATTTAGGAATAATTGGAAGCTCTGTATCACGTATAAGACGTCAGTTATGTTTTCCTATTTTATAGCTCTGAAATTCTACCCTAGCTTCTTCTTAGGCCTACTTTAGATGGGCAAATTTGTGTGTGCCCCATACTACCCTTAATTATTCTGGTAGGACCAGTTTTTTAATTTTATTCCCTGTAGGTTTCACCTTTCACCCTTTGTTGAATGTTTTTTCTGTATAAACATGTTAGGTCTGCACACAGGGTTCTACTTATGACCTCCCCTCACGGAAGGTAGAGGAGACCTGGAGAAATCTTGAATGAAGACAGAGTTCAATAACCAGTAGACGGGACAGGCTTTTATAGGAAGAGAGAGGAAGTGTATGAGGACCCAACCCTGGATAAATAAAGCTGAGAGAGAATGTGACAGATGTCTGTAAAAGTGCTGTGAGATTAAGCCAGAAGGTTGAAAATGCTAGATGAAATAATAAATTAAAAATCTGCACCTGGTAGTAAGGAAGATGGGAGATGTGTGGTGGGCACATACGCGCTGCTGCAAGGGTTCCCTGGCAGCACCTGTGACGTGGTAGAGCCACATGGTGGTTCCGTCGGCATCTCTGGAGTCTCTTTTCTCTCCTATCCTGTTCACGTAGAAGGGAGCCTTTATCTGGGTACCTCTCTGAAGCATCTGTTTCATGGACCTAACTTACCATTGGAGGCTTAGTTTTACTTCTTCCCAGAGCAGAAACCCTCTCTAATATCCTTGACAGAGAGTCACCCACTTTCTACTCTTTGAAAGGTGACAGAACCCACCTCATAAGGTAGCTCTTTCTACTCCTGAGCAGCAGGAATAATGAAATCATTCTACCCAGTAAATTCAGAGTGATCACCTGTTCCGCTAGCCCAAAACTGCTCAAGTTCTATTAGAAACAGCATCCAGTAATTTTTCTTTTCTGCCTGACAGTGCCTTAAGTAACTGAGCCTGGCCATCTTGAGACATGGTATTTTTAAAATCATGGCTGTTCACGATGAAATGTAACTGGGCGTAGACCTGGGGCACCCAGCCCAGAGTATACAGCTGCGCTGGGGTGGCCTCGGCGAGGAGCGGCAGGTCACCCGCCCGTCACCCAGTCATCCACTCAGTAAATACCCACTGAGTTCCCAAAAGGTAACAGGAACTCTTTAGGTTCTGGTGGTGAAACAGGGAGTTAAAAACAAATCCAAAATTTGTAGAGTTTATACTCTATCAGGGGAAGAACATATCTTCCTGACAGAAGACGAATGAATTAATAAGCTAAGGTAAATGGTCTGCCTGAAGTGTGTGTTGGTCCCTCAAGTGTATGTCAGGGGAATCTAACAAAAGTCCAGAGTTGGTCAGGTGAGGCTTCTTTACGGAAGTGACCCTTGAGCTGGACTCTGAAGCATGAATAGGAGTGACAGGTATTGCCTGTCAGAGGGACACCGCGTGACGAAGGCCTTGTGGCTCCAGTCGTGAACTTACCTAAGGACTTGAAAGAGAACCAGTGTGGCTGGCGTACAGAGGATTGCCAGAGGGTGAGAGGAGATGCCCTCTGAGACAGACGACTTCAGGCCTTATAGAATCTGATTAGAATTCTTTGTTTCAAGAGAAATCAGAAGTGATCAAAAGGTTTTACCCGGGAGTGACATCAGATTTGCATTTTGAAATGATCCCTCTAGATATGTTTAGGAAAAAAATTGAGGGCCAGTTTGACTTTGGGAAGAACACCATTTTCCAAAGTTGGGAAGAGATAATACAACTCTGGTTAGGTTATAAAACGGAAATGGAAGGAAATATACTGAACTGAGAGATATTTGAGAAGTACTAAGATTTGGTGATCAACTGGAAATGAAAATTTAATGAATAGGCATTGTCCAAGGACATGCTTTGGCATCACTCACTCAAATAGGTAAGGTTGCCAGGGTGAAATATGCACAGACAAACATACGTACATCCATCGTACACATAAATCACATATATATGTTACTTTTTACTGTAATGTATCACAAATACAGAAAACAATCTTTAGACAGCTCAATAAATTATCAAAAAGTGAATGCAAGATGGTATACAACCATCTTGATCAATAAATGGAATTTTATTAGTGTCCCTTTTGTGCTCCCCTGCAAGATTCACACTCAAAGAGATAGCTGTTATCTTGAATTCTAGCACCACAGATTCGTTTTGCCTGTTTTTTAATATAAAGGGAATTATAAGAGACAAACTATTTTGTGTCATCTGCCTTTTGTCGAATGATAACGGTAAAATTCCATTCATGTTGTAGTTTCTAGCAGTATTTTATTCTTTTGATGCTATGTAATATTTGATTTTTTTAGTTTTATATATATATATGTATGTGTGTGTATGTATATATAAGAGAGAAAGTCTGTTGATTATTATTTGGGGCCATTATGAATAGTACTGCTGTGAATGTTTATGTCCACTATAAACATATTAAGTACATGTCTTTTTATTCATATAGATATATATATATACACACACATATATATATATATATATATACACACATATATATGCACCTACAATTATATTTATAATTTATAAGTAAAAATATAATTATATATATACATATATAAAATACTGCGTGTGTGTGAGAATCCTCTTCACGGTATACGTATGAAACAAACGACTGGATGATTAGGTGAATATATATTGAATATTAGTAAATAGTGTCCAAGTATTTTTCCAAAGTAGTGTACCAATTTGAGAACTTTACCTAATCCACAGTAGTTTTTTTAAAATTGAATTCACTTAAAAAAAATATTTACCATTTGAAAGAGTACTTTAATGTGCCTTTCTGGGATAACTTTTGAGGTTAAGCACTGCTCATCTGTGTATATAATTATATGATTATTGGCTGTTTGGATATCTTATTTTGCAAAGTGACCATTCAAATTTTTGTCTACTTGATTCTGATGGTTTTCCTGCCTTTTAAAAATGTGTTTATGGGAGTTATTTGTATTCTGGATACCTGTACTTTGTTTGGCACAAAAGTATCAAAAAGTGATCCTACCAGGGTCTGCCGGAATTACAACCAATAAGTGGAAGTATATCTATTTTCTTGCTCTGTGGCTTGCTTTTCACACTATGGTATCTGTTGGTGAACTGATGTGATATGCTGCAAAAACAGCTGTCCCACCCTTGCACTGTGATGGGAGTAGACAGATACTCATCAGGAGGTGGGAATTCGATTTCTTGCGCCTGTGCATCTGGGTGTAGGCTTGTGACTTGCGTTAGCCAATGGGACAATGTTAGTAAGAAGTATGTATTCATTGGTGCTTGCCCTCCTTGTTACTGGGAGGCCTTCTGCCCTCGTGTGAATAAACCTCGCTTAGCCTTTGGAGGGTGAGAAGCCACGAGGACTGATGACCCAGTTTTAACAGTCCCAGACTGAGGTCCCAACGTGAGGGTGTGAGGCCATCCGATCATCCAGCTGCTCAACAGTCTGCAGAATTATAAGAAATAATAAATGTGTGTCGCTCTAAGCCACTAAATTTTGGGGTGACTTATGCAGCAAACACTAACTGCTGCATGCCCCCAGCCTTTTGTGCTATTATTATTATTGCATATATTTTACTTCTGAATGTTACAAACTACATAAGACGTCATCACGGTCATCATCCTTATTGTGCAGTTGAACTATTAATACTCTTCATATTTACCCATATGTTTGCCTTTTTCAAGTGTTCATTATTTCATGAAGTTCTTGCTTCCATATGGCACATCTTCTGTCCAGCCTGAAAAATTCCCTTTACTTCTTTTAGTAGGTTTCTGATTATCATGTATTCTCCTAGATTTTGTCTGAAAATACCTACCTTTGGCCTTCACTTTTGAAAGTATTTTAGATTTGAGTGTTATTCTTTCAGTACTTGAAATGTGTGCTTATAATGTCTTCTGACGTTAATGGTTTCTGTAGAAAAGTCAGCTATCAGTCTACCTATATTTCCTTTTAATGTAATGTGTCTTTTTTCCCCTCATAACCTTTAAAGATTTTCTTTGTTTTTTAGCAGTTTATGATGTACTGAGTGTATTTCTTGTATACCTTCTGCTTGTGGTTTCCTAAGCTCAGACCTAGGGGTTGATGCCTTTCATCAGTGTTGGCGAACTCAGCCACTGTCTCCTGTGTGGCTTCTGTACTGTTCTCCTTTGAAATTCCAATCACAGACAAGACACGGGGGCATGTTCTGCATATTTCTTATGCTCTCTTCTGTTTTTCCATTCTACTTTCTCTTTATGACTCTGTTTGTATAATTTCCATTGCCCTGTTTTCTAGTTAACTAATCCTGTCTTCTGCCATCTTCAGTCTTCGTGTCGGCCCTCCAGGGAATTATTGATACCAGATACTGCATTTCATCCAACACCCATTTGGTTCTTCTGTCACAGGTGGCAATTCTATGTTGAAATGATCTACTTTTCCCAGTGTTTTGTGCGTGATTTCCTTTGCTTTCTTTAGCATGACAATCATAGTTATTTTAAAATCCATACGCACTAATTCCATAATCTTGTCATATGTGGGTTTGCTCATACCGCCTGCTTTTTTCTTGATTATGAATCTTCTCTTTAGGAACTTAGATCATACTTTTTTTCCTTTCTTGGTATTTTTCCCACTGCTTTTGAATACTATTCTTATAAACTTTTCCCACCTTTTGTACTTCTTTTCCTGCGGCTGGATCGGTTCCGAAGAAGCAAGCCCATGATTGTCAGAAGCAGAATCTCTTCATGTATCATTGTATCTTTGCCCTTATATCTCTGAAATTTTTTTATTCTACTGCCACAGTAGGCTAGTACAGCTGCCTGTGTGTGTGTGTGTGTGTGTGTGTGTGTGTGTAACCCCAGGGCAGGTTTTGACTCTAGATAATTTTATTCCTGAGAAAAAATGGTATTTAAATATCTGCCTATGTTTCTCTCTTCTGGGTTACTGTGTGTTTATTTCTCTTTTTATTTTTAATCAGTTGATAAGAAATGCAAAATGGAAAAAGGAACAAAGCTAGTGAAAAAGAATCAAGCTGCAGTGAATCCTGGGGTCTCTGCAGCCCCCAGAAAGGACGTTGGGCACCAACATGTTGCACCCAAGGCCTCGCTTCCTGTTCAGGTATGAGGGGCAGGTGGAGTGGCCTTCGTCCTGGTAAGACCATCCTCTAGGCATTCTCCACATTGGAGCTCTCTGTCTTTATCTCACAGCATGCAAGTAAAGAAAGCAAGGCTATTATATGAGGAGTGGGTCTGGATAAGAGATGGAAAGTTGCTTCGTTTCAGGAGGTTATATACTTACTGAGCTCCTAATTTCTGCTAGGGCCCAAGTACTTTAACACGTGGTCACCAGTTAGATTCTACAACAGGACGACTTGAGATAGACTGTTTTTTCCATGAAGTGTGTTTAGAGTGCTGTCAGGAGGAATACTGGTTGGGGAATGAAGGAAGCGGAAGAGGGAGAATTTCAACTCCAGTGCAGTTGGAAACGGACCTCAGCCAACCCCACAAGACGCTCAGGAGCTGGGAATGCCTTTCAGAGTTGTCACAGTTTGGAAGGAGGGCAGAAGGCCCTCTATACCTGCACTGACTGCGGGAGGCAGTCCTCTTCAGCCGACAGCAGTGCTGGAGAGGCTCTGTAAGAATGATTGCTTTGGTCCTGGAGGAGGGCAGCGGGCAACGTCTGGGAGACTCACCACGAATCCACCACAAACATTAAATTTCATTTCCTGTGTGGCAGATATTCAAATCATTTTACAGATGTGTGAACTATGGAAACTGGCTTATGAACTGCCTTCCCATCGTCTAGAACATCTGCCTTCTCTGGGCTGGTCTTAGGGCTCTCTGAAGTTGTCAGGGAGACAAGATTCAGGTACAAGTGGTGCCTTCCGGTCACCAGCAATGAAAACGCACATTCTCCAACTAAGGTGCATGATACCACGGAGGTGAGGGCGTGGAGCGGATCTGGGTGGAACTGACACTTCCCTGAATTGGTTCAGACAAATGCTGTTGCACTGTCCGTCGGGATCCTCGTGGACAGCCATGTTCCCACGCTCCGGGTCCCATCAGAGATCCCATTCATCCTACACTTGGCTTACATGTCCTGGGTGTTCTGTATTCCCCTGTGACTCTGGACAGCGGGTTGTTTTTTAAAAGTAGCCCTTGCTTCCAAAACAGACTTCCCAAAGTCTCTGATCTTTGTTAATTTGGGAAGGCACAAAGAAGAGAATTACCTATGATCCTATCACCTAGAGAAAACCATAGTTGTTATAGGTAAATATCTCCCTAGGGTGTTTGTGTGTGATTTAACTGTTCATTTAATAAGAAACACACTGTATATTTTGTTTGGGACCTTCCCATCTTGTGAGTTTTTAATGTTTATCATGTTATTTCTCTAAAGCATTTTTAATATTTACATAGCATCTATTATCTGAATATGCCATATTTAACCTAAACCCCCATTTTTGGATATTTACATTATTTCTTTTTTCTTATAATTACAAATAACAAGATATAATTCTGTTATGTGAACCTTTGTGCATAGTTTATTATATCTAAGGTTCATAAAAGTAGAATTAGTTCTCCTTTTTAATTCTTCCTTTAACTCACTTTGTAGCATCTCTGACTTAAGTTACTCCCTTTACTCGCATTTTACTTAATCTGTAATTTTATTATGCACAGGACCATCGCTAGAAATCGGGGAGCCCTGTGCAGGTCATCGAGCACCCTTAGTTTCTCACCAGAGTGAAACCAGTATTCAAGTCAGTCTTGGATGGAGGGTTAAGGATCTCTTGTGCCCCAATAATGTGGATGCATGAAGACAGGATCCGATTTACCCCTCTGCCTTAGGCAGCACTATTTTGGAGATTGGATGGGATCTTTACATCTCTCTTCCATTCATGCCCCCTTTCCTTGGCTGATTTTCTGAAGTTTAACCTTAAGAGGGAGATAAGAATCCCTCAATCGTACCTTCTTTACCCAAGCTGATATTTTTCTTTTGTCTCCAGCCTAAGCAGAAACACACAGTGGCCCAGCAAGCTTCTATCAGAAAAGAAGGGTTGCAGAAAAACCCTATGACAGTCATGGTGCTGAAGGCAATGAAGCCATTTGAATTTGAGGCCCAGGAAGGGAAACAAGAGATGTTCCATGCTACAGTGGCTACCGACAGTCAATTCTTTTTTGTAAAAGTTTTCAATCCAGAGCTCAAAGATAAATTCACTCCAAAGAAAGTAATTCTAATATCAAAATATTATTGGCACACTCATTTCCTGGAAGTGAACCGTGCCTCCCTGGTTTTTGATGCTGCATCTGACCAGCAGGTCAGTGTCCCAAAGACCGTTATCAGAAAAGCTGGTGAAACCCCAAAGATCAGTAAGCTTCAAACTCAGCCCCTTGGGACAATTGTGAATGGACTGTTTGTAGTTCAGAAGGTAAGTGTCTACATATAATTTTAGATTGATTAGTAAGAATAGGTCATTTTCAACTATGGGCTTGAAGAGACCAGAAATTATCCATCTTAAAGTATTTTTATGTAGAAAAAAACAAAACAAATAAACCCCCAAAACTGAAGAGCTGCAGAGAGAGTGTGCTGCAACTGAAATACATTCAAAGTGTTTTTATTCACAAGAAGCTGTCACAATCCTGTTGCAGCTTCTTTTTATCTTTAGTCCTCCTGGAAAAGGGATTATTTAATACACAAGTAACATTGGCCCTCTAGGTTATTTTTGTACTTTATGCAGATATCTTTATTATAAGTGATTATTTATGTGAATACAAAATTACTGCAGTTGAGTGACAAGCCAGATTGATTAACCTGGAAGACCAATAAATAGAGCAGGATTGAAGAACTGTGACTGAAAGAAAATAGAAGGAAGGGTTAGTGTGAGGAGACTTATTAGAAGGGAGAAATATAAAAGCGTTTTGGCTGTAAGCCTTAGGGGAACTCGTATGACGACCTCTGGCCCCGGGACCTGAGAGCCCCAGGGAGGGGACCTCCTGGGCCTGCGTCTCGGAGCCTTCGGTGGAGCTGCTGCCTCCGGGCTCGCTGCAGAGGAACTGATATGAAGGATCTGTCCTCCTGGAAATTCCAAGTCCAAAATGACCTTGAATACGAAGCCCATGTTCTTTATATTAGTGTGGTGCCTTCAATCTAGTTAATCATCCACAAATATCTATTCAGTAGCCTATTAAATTAAACCTGAAATACTATCAATCTTGTAGGTATCTGATCAACACCCTGTTCCCTTTTGACTTGGACTTGATTGTATATTATTTCTTGGCCTTGATTCTTATCGGGGAAGAAAACTTTTCCCTTCTTCCCCTCTAGGTTCTTTGGCAGGTTGAATAACTATATTGACATAAGATTAACAGGAAAAAGCAAATTAAATTTTGTTCATACTGGAGCCCTATAAAAAATAATGAGACTCAAAGACAGGCAATTAAGGCTTATATGCCATCCTGAGCTAAGAAGCGGGTAGGGGCCTGGGGCTTCAAAGGGGAGGAAGACAACCCACCGGAAGATAATAAAGCAGATATTTAGCAAACGGCTATTTGCCCTGCCATGCAGATAAGTCTGATCTAGAAAGTTATCTCTGGCGATATTTCCCTCCCGGTTACAGCCTCCCCACGAAACTAAATGCTATCAGGCAGTGACGGTGGAGGTAAAGAGCTTTTACTGAGTCCATTGCATCTCGATCGCCTCAAGCTCAAAACAGCCCACACGCCAAAGTGACACATTTTGGGGTGACTTATTCTGACTCATTGCTAACTCTTGTTCAGATGCTTTACTAGGTTTTGCATCATTTGCTCATGTCTCTTCTGGACTTACTGCTTCAGATGACCCCCTTCCACCTCCAGGATCTACTTTACCCTTCCTGTTGTGGCTGCTGGTGCTAGGGAAGTCTCGCCATCTCCATCTACCGGTTACTGGGGTCGCAGGGCCCTTCTGGTCTCCTGAAATTAGGGAGCTTGGGGCTGGGAGCATGGACATGAGTTGTTACGTTCTAAGTAAAACTTAACTCTGTCTTCTATCCGAACTTACACCTATTAGATGTTGTATCTCACATCTGCCAGTTTCAAAGTTGGGTTTTTTCCTTATACAGATATTCCCTAATTTACCATGGTTTGACTTAAAAATTTTCAGCTTTATGATGATGCAAAATCAATATGCATTCAGTAGAAACCATACTGTCAATTTTGCATTTTGATCTTTTCCTGGGCTGGTGATATGAGGTGTGGTGCACTTGTGATGCCCAACGGGCTGCACAGACATGAACACACCAGCACACTGAAAGGCAGCCTGCTCTCACTTTCAGTGGTGTGTTCAACAAATTACATGGGACAGTCAACACATTATAAAATAGGCTTTGTGTTAGATGGTTTTGCTAGACTCCAGGCTAATGTAAGTGTTCTGAGTGTATTTAAGGTACTCTAAGCTAGGCTATGCTGTTCGGTAGGTTATTTGTATTAAATGCATTTTCAACTTAAAAATGGGTTTATTGGGGTGTAACCCCGTCATGAGTAAGATCTGTATTTCTTTCTGGAGGCTGTTACTAGCACTTCCAATATCTGGTTGGTGTGGCATTCCTTCTTCAGATTATCAAAGATTGGGTATTGATTTTTATTTTGCAGATAACGGAACAGAAGAATCGCATATTATTTGACCTCAGTGACAACACAGGGAGGATGGAAGTATTGGTGTTTGGAAAACAGAACGAAATCAAATGTGAGGAAGGGGATAAACTTCGACTTACGTTCTTTGAGCTGTCAAGAACTGGAGAAAAACTACAGCTGAAGTCTGGAGCACACAGCGTCATTAAGGTGGGGTCTGTGCGGGGGGAGGAGGTTAGCTCTCTGAGGGGGTGACAGTTTGCGTTGGCTTTCAGAAAGCTGGGCAGGTGCTACTGAAAAAGCAGGGGTGGAAGACCCTGATATTTAGTTCACATGCTTCTCACAGAACTTAAGGACCTCCCTTTTAGGAAATACACATCGTGTGTACACAAATAAGAGGCCATGGGTTTCACAAGGCAGACACACACATTGTGGTACCCACACAGCCCCACAGACTTTACTGGCATCACTAAATCTGAGGCAGACTGTTTGCCCAAAGCCGGGCACATTATTTTGACAGATGTATGTAAAACTAGACACAGACCGTGCACACCTCAAGGACTTATTTCTCAGGGAACTCACCCCCCTGCACCTAAACCATGGAAGGCAGCTGAGTCAGGGTAACCCCCCTGCTCCTTCCTGCCCTTTCATCTCTCCTTTATACCAACATTCTCCTGCTACTTCTGGGCCCTCTTCCCGATGTCTCAGCGTCATTTGCACCAGTTGATGTCTTCCTTTGTAAGAGTGGGGTGGAGACTTGAGACACAGCGTTCTGTGCCCTTGCCAAGTAGGAGTGTATATCCCAGGCCAGACAGGCACTCCAGGAAGTGATCCGAGGGTGGGAAAGGTGCTATTGGGAAGAAAGGAGACAATTTCATCAGAAGAAAAGATGCACTTTAGGAGGACAGAGTCACTGCATGCAGACAAGGGATAATGGGTCATGTGCATCTCAAACTGTACTTACGTTTTCTCCATCCAGGTTATTAAGGCCAGAAATTTGAACTGAAAGGAATTAACTCAGATCCACTGGTCTAAATGGCATTTAAATGAGGAGCACCTGAAGCCTCATGAACTGACTGAGAGCCCCTGGGAGCGCAGGCTCCTCCTCCCCCACCCCCAGCTCGGTCGGGATGGCATCGTTGCTGGATAAACAACCCATCATATTATCACAATCAAAGTTTATTTCTCATCCATTGCATACCTACCAATTTAAAGTCAAATTTAGTTTGGGGTAAGGATAAGCCAGGCTATGCTCTATGAAGGTGTTCACAGATATTGTAGTTGTTCAGTAAATATCAGTTGAATGAATAAAGTGATTAATGAGAAATATTTACTATATGTAATTGTACAAGTCAGTGTAAGCTAAAGTTATAAATAACCAAATTCACAGGGGCGCAAATATGAAAGGCTTGCAACATAGAAACATTGTCGAGGTCACTAATAATCTGAGACATGATTAAATAATGAATAAGACTCTGCCGCTATGTAGAAAGCAGAGACTTAGAAAGAAGCTTGCTCCCACCCTCCCAGCAATGAAGTGAAACCAGATAATCTGCAAAATCACAATGTTTTCCGAGCCTATCGGAGAGCCGAGCTGTAGAGCAGGGATCTGATCAAGCAATGTAAGGAGAGAGAGAGACTCCTCCAAAGACAGAAAAGGTGCCCGCACTCAGGGAACTCACCCCCCTGCACCTAAACCATGGAAGGCAGCTGAGTCAGGGTAACCCCCCTGCTCCTTCCTGCCCTTTCATCTCTCCTTTATACCAACATTCTCCTGCTACTTCTGGGCCCTCTTCCCGATGTCTCAGCGTCATTTGCACCAGTTGATGTCTTCCTTTGTAAGAGTGGGGTGGAGACTTGAGACACAGCGTTCTGTGCCCTTGCCAAGTAGGAGTGTATATCCCAGGCCAGACAGGCACTCCAGGAAGTGATCCGAGGGTGGGAAAGGTGCTATTGGGAAGAAAGGAGACAATTTCATCAGAAGAAAAGATGCACTTTAGGAGGACAGAGTCACTGCATGCAGACAAGGGATAATGGGTCATGTGCATCTCAAACTGTACTTACGTTTTCTCCATCCAGGTTATTAAGGCCAGAAATTTGAACTGAAAGGAATTAACTCAGATCCACTGGTCTAAATGGCATTTAAATGAGGAGCACCTGAAGCCTCATGAACTGACTGAGAGCCCCTGGGAGCGCAGGCTCCTCCTCCCCCACCCCCAGCTCGGTCGGGATGGCATCGTTGCTGGATAAACAACCCATCATATTATCACAATCAAAGTTTATTTCTCATCCATTGCATACCTACCAATTTAAAGTCAAATTTAGTTTGGGGTAAGGATAAGCCAGGCTATGCTCTATGAAGGTGTTCACAGATATTGTAGTTGTTCAGTAAATATCAGTTGAATGAATAAAGTGATTAATGAGAAATATTTACTATATGTAATTGTACAAGTCAGTGTAAGCTAAAGTTATAAATAACCAAATTCACAGGGGCGCAAATATGAAAGGCTTGCAACATAGAAACATTGTCGAGGTCACTAATAATCTGAGACATGATTAAATAATGAATAAGACTCTGCCGCTATGTAGAAAGCAGAGACTTAGAAAGAAGCTTGCTCCCACCCTCCCAGCAATGAAGTGAAACCAGATAATCTGCAAAATCACAATGTTTTCCGAGCCTATCGGAGAGCCGAGCTGTAGAGCAGGGATCTGATCAAGCAATGTAAGGAGAGAGAGAGACTCCTCCAAAGACAGAAAAGGTGCCCGCACCGGCTCACCTGCAGTGGATGACGGACACTAAAGACCCCACAAGATAGAATTCAACTACAATTTTTAATGAATTGCCTGAGCTTGGCCTTGGGCTGGCATGAAAATACAGAACCACTGGGTTCTACATTCATCCTCAGTGACAGGAACTTCCCCATGGCTCTCACTGGATGATTGTGGATACAGTTAAGAGCAGGTCTGGGGGAGGGAAAGACTGACCCCTATGGGAAAGATGTGAACTCCCACCTGGACCCTGCCCACAGCACAAAAAATCCCCCAGTGCAAGAGAAGCAAATCTGTCTTGAGGGCAGAGATGAAGGCCTGTTGAGCAGAGGGAGGAAAAGGTTGTTCTGAGCAAAAGGCAGAAGTAAGTTCTAGATGCAGAATGGAAAAAGTTCTCCTACATCTGGGGGAGGGACAGGGTCAAGGGTAAAAGTCTCCCCTGCCTCCCCTCCCCCCCACAAGATTTAGGGACACAACACCTGCCAAAGGCTGAGGCAGAACCCAGACAGTAGAGAAATCTCCCCTCGCTTCTCCCGAAACCTACTACCTGGCTGAACACGCCTCGGATAACAAGCACAGCAGTTCACTACTAGACGATGGTCAAGAGCGTGGAAAGAAGCATTTTCGTAGGTTCAGGTGCAGGGTGAAGACTTAATGGTACAGCGCTAGGGGAATGTTAAGTATGTGGTGCACAGAGAGTGGGTAACAACAGATCTCAAAGCTTGGTTCTAGTCCCGATCAGATTGATTCAATCACTGTGGTAAGCATAGCAAAAGACAGTCCACGCTGTTTCTAGGCATAAATACTATGTACAATCAGTCTCACAGATGGCTTTTAATACAAATTGTGAGGCACACAGAGAAACAGAAGGAAGAAAAATGGCAAAACAAATGAAGAAAATGAGAGTCAGACATGGTATAGATGTTGGAACTATCAAACAGGATACTTAAAATAGAAAACATGCATCATCAGATGGACAATTTCAGTAGAAAAGTGGAAATTAAGAAAGTCAAAGAAATGCTGGAAATGGAAAACAGTTACAGAGATGAAGAATGGATAATCAGTAAACTTGATACAGCATCTGACACAGGAAGCAATCAATGAACTAAATTACTCAAATGGAAGCATAAAGAGAAAACTAGAAAAAAGAAAAGAACAGAGTAGGAGATAAGGGACAAGATCAGGCAGTTAAAAAATATCTGTAACAGGAATTTCAGGAAGAGAACAGAAAAATAAACAGGCGAAAGGATATTTGAAAGGAGCTGAAGGCAAAGAGGTTTTCAAACCTAGTAACAGACAAGTTACCACAGATCCCAACAGCTCAGAGAATACCAAGCAGAAAAGAAAATAGTCGTAAATAATCATAAATAAACTGTGGTAAGAAGCCAAGGAGACAAAGTTTCTATTGAGGCTTCAGGAATGGAATGTAGAGGAATCAGAGTGCTTGAGGTTGAAACAATGTAGCCATGTGCCCCCCTCCCCCACCAGGGACCCGGTGATCGGGAACAGCTTGTTGGTCATAGCCATGGAGGCCCATTAGTTTATAGTAGGGTATCTGGGTAACCTTTACAGAGATAGGTTAAAATATAACTAGCATCCTGAGTACACCTATAGTGACCTAATAGCTCCCACTGCAACGTTCCCTAGGTTCACTCCCCCTTAACCCTGCAGTGAATGTATAAAAGGCATGGCCCTGCTGCGCTCGGGGCTGAGCCAGTGCCTGGCCTGGCACTAATAAACACTGCTTCTCACTAATGTCTCCGTGTCCCGACGCCTCATTTGTAGTTCCCGCAGTTCTGCAACAAAATCACACACACACGTAGGTATATCATAATCCATATTCTGTCCAGTGGGATGGCTTCATCCAACCATCACCAACCCAGTTAGTCTCATTTTTTTTGTATTCAACCACCAGTGAAAGCTCAGCTTGACAAGTCAGGACATCTGACTCCACATGTTGGAGGAGAAAACTGAACAAAAATTTGAGGGTTTACATTATGTAACTTGACCAATCCAGTCATAATTGTTCCTGAAGCTTGTTTTTGAATAAAATTAATCTTGGAAGTTTTGTTTTGTCGTATAGATAATAGAATAGTAAATTCAAATATATCTTTAACCACTAAATGGCCAAAGAAAGTGAAAATTGTTTTTAAAAAAATCGCGAATAGAATTGAAAATGGAGACTGAATACCACTAGAAGCGGAAACATCAAACTGCTTTTAGTTATAACTAGTGTTCCCTGGGCCATTTGGAGTGTCCAACTCATAGAGCCCATTTCCAAGAAATGATGCAGTGTTATAAAGAGTGACCAAGACAGCTGGGAGACTGTGCTGAGTCCCTAAATGCAAACAATGTCTGGCCACTCTGGTTAGAGCCAGAGCCTTGAACATGAAAAAAGAGCACTTCTCATTGTCAAGGCTCTAGGAGCCAGCATCCTAACAGAAAACCTGGGAGCAGATTGGCTGTGTCCCCGTCTGTCACTGCAGTGGCAGGGGATCCTATGAGTTGCATCAGAATCCTTCATGAAGAGAAGTGCTTGATCTGCAGGAGGAAGTGGGAAAGGCAAGGACGGACCACGGGCTTCATAGAAACAGGTCCACAGAGCATTGCTGGCTGCTTCCGCCGACCAGAAGTACTCGGAATGGATGAGCTAGGCTATTACCCGGGCAGTCTCCGGCGGGTGATTGGATCTTGGTTCTGTGTGACTTCTCATCAGTGTGACAAATTTACCAATTTACCGTAACATAGGAAAGCACTTTCCTCAAATAACATCACAGGACAATGGAGGATATGAGTATGTTCATTCCAGACGTAACTGTAATAGAGGATATAGAAAATTCGTACTAGATGGAATTATTATTTTTTTTAAATACACTTAAGGACATGCTTGCATTTCAACATTTTACTCCTCAGGTCTTTATTTCTACCTGTATGATGGACTTTTAGGATGGTCATAATATGTTATAAATTCAAATAGTTTACAGAATATTAATTCACATAGAGTACCATTTTCAGAAAAATTCTGCATATACTTACAGAGTGAAAATGTGGAACTGTATGCATATGGCACAATCTGGATGTTGGAATTTCGGGTAATTTAAATTTAGTTATAATTTTTTCAGTGATTTGTTGTCTGCATCTAGTCATTTTTCCCTAAAATAACCATGTATGAATTGCTTAGAAAGAAAGTAATGAAGAGAAAGAAAGATAAAATATTGTAGTGTAATTTTGCTACTCTGGTTCAACACAATCTTTCCCCTTTATTGTGTATGAAGAAAAAAAATACTCTTCTTTTTATGTGAGGGGTCATTGATATTTCAAGGAGTTATTAGATGGACCTTCTTATTTGTGTGACATAGTGTGAGTCTGGCAAATGCAGATTTCAGAGTAGTACAATCAGAATGAACAAAAGCGTGCAGTTATGAAATGCGGCTCACTCCCTTTCATTTCCGGGTGTTGGTGTATGGTTTTCCTTCTGCCTGGATTCCCCCAAATCCTTAATGTCTCCTCCTTTTCTCACCACTTTTCTTGTCTGTGTATGTCTGTCTGGGGTGAGGGTTGGACATTCTTTTTACCTCAGTTTATGTATTACCTTTTTGCCTGAATTAAATGATCCTCATTTATGCTTATTGGACCCTGTGAAATTCTTATCTTGGTAGTTGGTGTTCATTATTTTATTGGGCAATTGTATTTATTTATAGTATTAGGCAGGTTCTGAACTAGTAATTTGGCAGGCAGGGATAAAGAGGTACAAACATCCAATTATAAACTAAAAACATGGGAACAAAAAGTACAGCATAGGAAATACAGTCAATAACACATATTTTTATGTTGACAGCAGAAACTACTAATCCTGGTGAGTATATGGTAACATGTAATTCTTGAATCATTGTGTTATACACCTGAATCCAATATAATATTGTAAATCAGCTCTATTTCAGTTAAAAAAATAAAAATAGAATATTATGGCAAAGTACCCCTACTCTTGAAATTTATGGTACAGGTAAAATGACAAGTAATAATTATGGTTGTCATAAGTGGTAGCAAAGAAAAAACAAGCTCTTATACAAGTAAACACCAAGAAGACTTCTCCTTGACTAAGAGGGGATCTAATGGAGGATTTTCTAGAAGACCTTAAATTGGGACCAAAAGGATGAAAATGTTTGACCAGTTTAGGTTTGTGAAAATCCTGAAATAGAAAGACAGTGCATTAAAAAAACTGAGTTATAAGCAAAGGGAAGTATGAAAGAGAATCAGTCACTTGACAATGGACTCATTTCTGTATTCACCTGCATTCTTATGGATGCTACAGTTTCCCTCCCTCCTCCAGGAAAACAAAAGATAGAAAATTTCCTGAGGCCAGTCATCATGTCAAATTCACCAAGTATCCCTTGTAGAAGCAAAAGATTAAAGTGTAGTAAATTCTCACTATGTGTATTTGATGAAATAAAAATTGGAGTTATTTTTTGTAGAAGAGGAAATGTGGTGCTATTTTGAGGTTCAAGAACAACAGTGTGTGTTAAAGAAAATGGAATGAAAGAAAAACAAGAAGAAATTCTTTTAGAGAAAATGCCCTTGTGAACATATGATTATTAGCTACATACACAGATCTTTCTGTATAAAAATCCCTACAGGTCTTACTCGCTGGAACTTCCATAGTGGTCTAAACCTTGAGATATTCTTCGAGAAATGCAGAGTCACTGTCTCATTAGAGAAGAAAGACAAATTAGTAAAAATCTCTGGAAACTGAACTACAGAGTCTTATCAACTTGGGAGAAGTAAGAAAATGAGATGTTTTTGAAAGATCACTATGAAAAAATGACCCTGGTTTTGGATCATTTCACATGTTGACTAGTGCTGGCTGGGTCGTGCTCGGCCATGAGATAGATTCTCCCTATTGGCTTTTCTCCCACGGAGAGAAGTCTTGAAGCTATGAGGTGATTTTGAGACTCCACCCATAAATGTTCATAGCTTTCACTATTACTAGTCAAGGTAAATGCACAGTGTCCTTCCTGTAAATATTTTACTCAGAATGAGGAATGAGAACAGAATTCCCTCTTTTGGTCTTCTGTAACACATTCATAGGTGAAAGAAGTCCCGATATTAAAACTGTCTTATCCAGTGAACTTAAAAGTGGATCTGTAGAAACCAAATTTCCTTAAATTAGGCTCAAATGGAAAGGTGAGTCAACCAGCCACTTCTCCCTGCTTTCCTGTTCTCAGAGTGGCAGTGGCAGTGGCAGGAGGGGACCTTGAAGGAAGTGTCTGTCCCTACATGTACTTGACTGCACCTCATGGACGGAGGAAGGTCTGCTATGAAGTTGCCGGGGCCTCAATTGTATGTGACACATTCATGTAATTATTAATAGTTGACAGTCCTGGAAACTAACAGAAGCACAGACTTATCATAAATATGTGAGTTTTACTAGACTACTTATAAATGAATTTTTTACTGGTTATCTGCTTGTCTATGACTAGGATTCAGTGATTGAATTTCGTTATTACCCTTGCTTTTCTCAATTATACACAGAAAACACAAGGGAATAATGGGCTCCTATGACCGTAACCATGAAGCTTTCAAATTCTACAAATAAACCTCTAGAAAACTTGATAAATGATTTTTTTCTGCATTTTTTTCTGTGAGGGATAATGGATTCACTTTGGTGAATAGTAATGCCCAGATATCAAATAAATGGAAGGAATTAGGAGTAGGTCTGGTGGTAACCTATTATCTGATCTAAATGAAGGGTGTGGCCATGACTGGAAACAAGGTCCTAAAATATATAGATAATCTGAAGTTATCTGAATAAAGAACAAAACTCACTGGGTTAATTCAAACTAATGACATGAATAAGTTCAAGTATGAATTTGGAAACTGCTTATTTCTTTTCATATTTTTATGAAAATCTAGTTAATATACACTATTATATTGGTTTCAGATATACAACATAGTGATTTGACAATTACATATATTAGTAAATGCTCACCACAAGTGTAGTTACTATCCACATACAAAAAAATTACAATATTACTGGTTACATTCCCTGTGTTTTCCTCCCATCCCCATGACTAATTTATTTTTGATTTGAAGTTTGTACCTCTTTGTTCTCCTCACCTATTTTGCCCATCCCCTACCCACCTGCCCCATGGCAACCACCAGTCCATTCTCTATGTTTATGAGTCTATTTCTGTTTTGTTTGTTTATTCGCTTCTTTTTAGACTCCAACTATAAGTGAAATTGTGTGATACTTGTTTTTTTGTGTCTAGAGGGGAATATGCTAACTAAATAAGTCACCCAGAGAACACTATTTAACTCTACCAAAGCATGAGTAAGTCAGGGAAAACCAAGGAGGATCTGGAATGAATGCTTCAAAACCTTGTCGGTTTTCGTGATCCTTTTATACAGACTCTAGCGCTACTTGTGTGGATGCACTGGGCTGTTCTTAATGTAAAGGATAGAGGGTGACATTAGGGAGGTCAATGAGGGTTCAACAAAAAATTCTCCCATACAAGAGAACTCCATATGGCTCCTATGGACTTTTCAGCAGGAACATTACAGGCTGGGAGAAAGTAAGATGATATAGTCAAAGCATTTAAAGAAAAAAAAAAAAAACTGCCAACCAACAATACTTTACCCAGAAAACTTGTCCTTCAGAAATGAAGGAGAGATAAATACTTCCCCAAACAAACAAAAGCTGATGGAATTCATCACCTCTAGACATGCCTTATGAAAATACTGAAAGGAGTTCTTCAAGCTGAAATAAAAGGATGCTGTATTAATAACATGAAAACATTAAAAGTAGTGGTAAAGGTAAGTATATAGTCAATATCCAAATACTCTAATACTGTAATGTAGCAAGCGGTGTGTTAATAAAGTATAACTGTTAAAGGATAAAAGTATTAAAAATAACTAAATCTCTAATAATTTGTTAATGAGAACACAATATAAAAAGTGGTAAGTTGTGAAATCAAAAACATAAAAGGTGAGATAGATAGTACAAGGGTGGAGATTTTGTATGTGATCGAAGTTAACTTGTTCTTAGCTTAAGATTGTTGTATCTGTAATAAGTTTTGTGTAAGCCTTATAGTAACCACAAAGCCAAAACCTGCAGGAGATACACCAAAACTAAGAGAAGGGAATCAAAGCATACCAATTCGGATAATCATCAATTCACAAAAGAAGACAGCGAGAGGAGAAGAAGGAACAAAATAACAGCAAAATTGCCAGAAAACAACAAAATGGAATTATTAAGTCCTTACCTATCAATAATTACTTTAAAAATAAGTGAATTAAGTTCTATCAAAAAGCATAAAGTGGCTGAATGGATAAAAAAAAAGACCCTGACTATATGCTGTCTGTGAAATACTCACTTCAGCTTTATATGAAGAACTAACATATAGGTTCCAAGTGAAGAAATGGCTGTGGTGTCCATGTAAATGAAAACCCAAACAGGAGCAGGGGTAGCTATGTTTATACCAGACAAATAGACTTCAAGTCAAAATTGTAACAGGATACAAAGGAGGTCACCGTATAATGATAAAGGGGTCAGTTTATCAAGAGGAAAAACCAATTATAAGTATGTATGGACCTAACATCAGGCCACCTAAATATATTAAACTAGTATTAACATATATGAAGAGAGGAAAAGATAACAAACAATAACAATAGGAAACTTAAATGCCCTACTTTTAGTAATGGACAGATCATCTAGACAGAAAAATCAATAAGGAAATGGACCTGAACTCTTATTTTAGACGGAATAGACCTATCAGACATATATAGAATGTTCCATTCCGAAGTAGCAGCAATCACATTTTTTTCAAGTGTACACAAAACATTCTCCAGGATAGATCATATGTTGGGTCACCAAGCAAGTCTTAGCAAATAAAGTTAAAATCATACCAAGTATCTTTTCCAACAATAATGGTATGAGAAAAGAAATCAGTAACGAGAGGAAAACTAGAAAACTCACAAATATGTGCGAGTTAAACACCACACTCCTGAACAACCAGTGGGTTAAAGAGGAAATCAGAAGGGAAATAAAAAATATTTGAAACATGGAAATGGAAACAAAATGTCTCATATCAGTTAAGGCAGTTCTAAGAGTGAAGTTTATAGTGATAAATGACTACATTAAGAAAAAAGAAAGGTCTCAAGTAAACATCTTCATACCTCAAGAAACTAGAAAAAGTAACAAATCAAGCCTAAAGTTAGAAGAAATAACAAAGATCAGAGCAGAAATAAATGAAATAGAGAATATGAAAATAATATTAAAGATCAACAATATTGAGTTGGTTTTTTAAAAAGATAAAATTGACAAACCTTTATACTATTTTAGAAAAAAGAGGACTCAAAATTATATGTGAAAAAAGACATTAAATTTAAACCTGGAAATACAAAAGATCATAAGAAACTACTATGTACAGTTATATGTCAGTAAATAGGATAACCTAGAAGATATGGATAAATTCCTAGAAATGTACAACTTACCAAGACTGAATCATGAAGAAATAGAAAATATTGGTACGTGAAAAGAAGCTCAACATCACTAATCATTACGGAAATTCAAATCAAAACGAAAATGAGATGTCACCTCACACTTATTAGAAGGGCCATTGCCAAAAAGACAAAAGATAACAAGTGGTGGGAAGCATGTGGATAAAAGCAGAGTTAGTGAGAATATAAATTGGTGCAGCCACTGTGGAAGATCCTCAAGAAATTGAAAATGGAACTACAGTATGATCCAGAAATACTATATCTGGATATATATCTGAAGGAAATGAAACCACTATCTCAAAGATATGTCTGTATTCCCATTTTAATTACAGAATTATTTACATTAGCCAGAGGTTGAAGCAATACAAGTGTCCATCCATGGATGAATGGGTAAAGAAAGTATAGTGTATATCCAATGGAATATGATTGAGTCACGAGAAAAGAAAATCCTGACATTTGGAACAACATGGATGGACATTGAGGGCATTACGTTAGGTGAAATAAGTTAGACAGGAAAAACGACTATTTTATGATCTCACTTACATGTGGGACCTAAGAAACCCAAACTCAGAAACAGTAGATTTTTGGTTGCCAGGGATGGGGAGGTGGGAAAAATGGGAGATGCTTCTCAAAGGGTACAAAATTTCAGGAAAAAGATGAATGAGTTCTGGAGATCTAATATATGGCATGGTGTCTATATTAACAACACTTTACTATATACCTGAAAGGTTTTACAAGAGTGGACCTTAAAAGTTCACACCACCCTGTGTGGCTCACGGTGCACAAATCAATCCCCCTCGAGCTGCTCATTTCTGGATGAAAGAGACCATATCTGGCACTTTGGGAGAATGATGTCCTTTAAAAAAGAAAATTTTATTTTTTTACATTATGAACATTTTAGGTACAAGACATAGTATTCTTAGAAAATACAGAGAAATATCGTAAGGTAATTTTATAAAAGAAAGTTACATAATCCACAACTCACATACTTAAAAAAATTCTTCACATGCTGGGCTCTTTCTTTTGAGTTTATTGTTTAATTGAGAGTCTCAGCTTTGACCACATCACTATTAAAAGCCACAGAATTAATTTGGAGGGAACAGTTCTTTACTTCAACTTCCAGATCTAAATTAAAGCTGCTTGATTTATTTTTGCTTTTCTAGTCTTGATGACCTTGAAAGAGAGATAAAGACAGGATGAGATCCCCACAGCTGACATGAAACTGCTAATGTTTCCCCCTCACCCGCACTGTCTCTCCTTCCCGTGGGCCACAGCATTCCCCTTGTGCGTCTCAAAGGCTCTTCATTCTCTCTCTCATTTCCTCTACAGCATCCTTGTCTTTTGGGTCTTACCCTGCCCCATTATCTAGAGGCCAAAAAGAGATATATCCTAAGGCCCTGCATGGGTACCTTTGAACAAGGTAGGAGTCCACAGGGATGGAGAGAAATAACCATAGAAAAAAAGACACTTCTGGTTCACCCAGTGCTGAGCAGCGAGGGGAGGCCTCACTGGGGCCGAGAAATGGGAGGAAACAACATACAAGGTATGTATTTTTCTCAGCACACTTGTTCTGGAAGAAAGGGTAGAAGACCCAGATTCTTGTGTTAGGGGATCTGAGAAAGAGAACAACTGATGTGCATGTACGTGTCCATATGCATGAAGATTTCACTACTGCTCATTTAATTATTTGCACTTAACTTTGATTAGTGTGTCAAGGTTCCCTTGGCGGACCTCTGGATGTGTTTGTGTGTGTTCCTATGTGTCTGACACAGGGCGATGTCATGTAGACTCGACCACATCTGTTTCCCGAGGGAAACATAATAACATTTCCCTACACTGTGGTACCTTTAGCTCTGAGAAGTGGTTTATTCAAGGTCCTGGGGCACACTTGGTATTTGTGTCTGGCATGAACTCTGCGGACCCTCCTCCTCATTCAACCTCTTTTTGATGCTGGTTATACACATTTTCCATTTTACCTTTGACCTCTCTGTTCACTTCTTTTCATTGTCATTTGTCCTATCAGGCCAAGTACCAGTTTTTCTCAAGGTTTCACCCTTATCTGTCTGATCTCATTTCTCTTGCTCAACGATCTAACTCTGGAGCTAGGGTGCCCAGGCCGGGATAAGAATCTCAGGTCCGCCACTTGCTGGCTGTGTCAACCATGGCAAATACTCACCTTTTATGAGCATCAGTATCTATATCAATGAAACAGGAATAATGTTTATATCAATATTGTATCAGTGTTTCAGTTTCCAGCACACAGTGAATGCTCAAATAGTGTTTTGTACTAGCATAACTATACATGTTATTATATTATCATTTCTTTTATTCATTGTCACTCAAACCTGTAACTTTAACAGTTTTCTCTAGACTGACAAATACTGCTGCTTCTAGTTGATATCCCTGTCTCCAAACCCAGCCTCTTTTTAATGCATCTGTCTAAACAGTTGCTAGAATATTTTTTGCTAAAATGTCAAAGTGATCAAGCATTCTTCTGCATAAATCTTTCAACTTGTCACTTAGTCTCACAATGAATTTTCATTTATTTATTTCTGACAAGAGGGCTACACTCTTTGCCTTTCTCACCCATTTTTTCACCCTCCAGCTACATCTTCCTGCAACCTTCCACATCTACTGGATTTCAGCTACACAGAAGTCGTTATGCTGTTTCACACTTCTGAAGATACGCACATGTGATTTCCTTTGCCTGGAACACCTCCCATGTCTTTACCTTGCTAAGAAAAATAGTATCTATTGCAGATTGACTTCTCTTTTTGTGTCCGGCAGTTAAGTAATGTAGTATATGCATTGCCTCACTTAACTTTTAAATCAACCCTATGGGATAGAGACCTTGACCATTTTAGGGGAACAATTAAGCTACTTCCCCAATATCAGGCAAGTAGTGAGTGTGCTGAAGCCAGGATTCAAATCAGGTCTGTCCTATTCAAAGTCTTGCACTTGACCATTACAAGAAATTATTTCCCTGCCCTCTTAATATTTTCAAATATTTTGTTATTTAGCACAAGTATCCTATTCTGTTGAAGTCTGTGTGAATGTCATTTCCTCATATCCTTTTAAGAATCTTCCACTTACAAATGAATGCAAAGACATTGATTATTTTTTCCCATCTGCTGGTCGGTATCTGTCAGAAATCAGGAATCCGGTACTCTGAAAGCCTACATAAAATCATTTTTCTTTTTTGGAAAGCTAATGTTCCCCTATCCCATTCCCACCTGAATGAAACTGTGATTTCCACATGTCAGTTTAAGCTTCTGGTCGATGGTTCTCAGCTGAAAGCAGAAGAGTCGAAGTTTATCTCCTTCCTTACACCCGATATTGTGCCATTTTCCTTTCCCCACTACATCCATCTTTCCTGTATTATCCCGTATTTCATAGATTGTGTTCTTCACATTCACTCTTTTCTGCAACAGAAATTTAACATTCAGTGCCTGAAAACATAATAACTTCCATAGGTATGAGAAACACCCTTGTGGCACAACAAATGCAAGACATAAAAAACAAAATGCAGTTACGAAGCAGTCAATCATGTAAGACATTAGGTGAGTTTATAGCAGTTTGCAAAATTGGAGGGGAATTGGCTGCATTACACTAGGTAGTACCCTGAATTTGGACATATAAATAAAATTCTCTATGCCTCTTTTTTTTGGGGGGGGGATATATAGGGAATTAGATCGCCTCATTTTCTGAATACCATGCAATATGAAATTTCTCAGTCAAATTTCAACAAACTTCATGAATAATGGATTATGTGAATAAGGTAAAGAAGACAGCTTCAAATGGTTATATCGTTTGCCTGACTGTTGAATGTTACTTACCTTCTGAAGAATACAAGCCAATCTGAATACATGTCACAACCAGAATTCAACCTTGGTAGGGCAATCTATTTTTCCAAGTAGAAGGAAAATGATGATTTCGACAGTTGTGGTGGAGCTCAGAGATAAAATCATTAGTATGTGCATATGATTTCTACCCTGTACTATTCTCATTCACAGTGGCTGAGAACAGATCATCATAAATGGTGAGATAACAAAGTTTCTTGGCAAATCTTTTTGAAAAATCTCGCAGGGGGGTATCTCGGGTTAGAAGAATCACAATAGGTCAGTCAGTCCCGTTTCCTGTTGTGTGGCAGACTTGACCACCTATCTCTAGTCAAGAGGGGACCAATATCTGGCCTCCAATATCCCATCATTAAGCAAAATATTGGCAAGTGAAGATGTTTAATTTCAATTGTTGATGGAGAAAATGGAAACCAATGATTGGCAATTACCTTATGTAGCCTAAACAACCCATACACAAGTGTTCCTGAGGCTTGCTTGTAAAGATTATCAATCTTGGGCGTTTCATTTGCTCTTTTGACGATCCTGTTTGGGACCTCAACCTGCTCATCAGCACCAGCTTCAGACACAGACGACGCTTCGTTTATCTCCAGGATTCCTTTGCATTCAAAGTAACATGATATGATAATGACCTTCCTTTTTGTGAATTTCTCCTTCAGGTCGCTGTTTAAGACCTTCACTTGGAAAAACTGAGTCGACGTCACCACTGTGGCGTGAAACATCGTGCTTTTCCCCCTTTCTGGGGACTCATAGTTGAACGGCTCTGTCGTTTTCAGTACCATGACGGTCAATGGGTCCTTTTGAAGAATTTTTCCTCTGGCAGCTACCTGACGTTGGGTTGGCGTTATCTGGCTCTGTGTTGGACAGAAACAGGAAACTTACAAGTTTGAGCAGGGAATGCAAAATCACTTTCTCTGGAATGGAACCCCAATTGTAACATTGGACCGCAGCTATCCTCACAGATGTTTGGAGCTGGGACAAGGCTAGACAGGAATTGTGTTACAGAAAGGAAAGGCTAATGAACGGGTGCTTTGTTAGCAGAAGTACAACGAAGCAGACAATGGCTGGCAGTTAGAATACTGTCCTTTACACCGGCTGATCCTTCTGATTTAAAGCATGATCCTCAGAAGCAGCAACACAGAGCATTGTCATGAAGCACTTGAAAACATAGATGAAAATATAACCGTGAATTCAGATATGTCCTCTACCCACTGAAATGTCTTAAGAAAATGAAAAGAGTGAACAAACACCTGGATAGCGCTGAACATGGACATGATGCCCACCGCAAGTTCCAGACATTAAGGGATTTCAGTTTTTGCTAGGATACCTGGGGCTGTTTTGAGGGTCCAACTCATGTGGCGTTTTCCCAGGAAATAGTGCTCTGTTACACAGAGTGAGAAGGGCAGGTAGGGCTCAGAGTTCCCTACCGCAGATTGGCTCAGGTAAAGGACATCTGATCAGAGCCGTGTCCACCATGTACCCGCAGCATCTCTCAGCAGCTGCGATGCTAATGGAAAGACAGAGGGCAGGTTTGTTTCCCGCTAGTTCTCTGTCTCCACAATGGCCTGATTAATTTGAGTTGCAGCAGGATACGTCCATGAAGAGAAAGGGGCCCGATCCATTAGAGGGAGGAGTATGGCCGGCAAGGATGGGGGGCTCCGAGAACACGGAGCCAGGCTGTCTGCTTCCACAGCCCAGCAGTGCTTAGTGGTCTGACCGGAGATGTCACACATGGTGATGGCCTGTGTGTGATAGGACTTTACATGGATGTGGCCTCTCATCAGTGTGACCGATTTACCATAAGAAGGGACTCACCTTTGCCAGAGCAAATTAATGGGTGTCAGTGGAGTTATGCATGAGATTAACAGTGGTAAGCCTGGATGCACTGTTTCTGGTTGAAGGAATCTCGGAGAAGAGGAACAGACAGCGTGTACCTCAGTTAAGGAGGTGGAGGACCGAGCTGACGATGAGGTCCGGGGAGGTGGAGGGGGGCCCCTGAGGGTGGACGTGCCGGCTTCTGAAGGGCAGGGAGGCTCAGCGTGCTCCCGGCACACCTTACCCCTTTTGGTGCCAGTCTTCTCTTTCACCGTCGTTTTTCTTTTCTGCAAGTAGTTTGATTTTCCTGTTAAATCACTTTCAGTATCAATAGAAGCAGAACACAGTTTCATTACTTTGTGGGATGTTCTATTCGTATGAGACGTACTGTTCGTGGCAGCTCCAGAGAGGCTTAACCCATCACTTAAAGTAAGATGGCCAGTAGGTAAGAGTGGGCATAATGGTGGCACCAGAAAAGAGATGGTTGATTTAAACAGGCACATTGCTGCTCTGATCACTTCCGTGCTGGGTTGGGAAGAGCACTAGACGCGGCATTAGAAAACCTGGGTTTGTGTGAGCACAGGCCAGACGCATTTCCAATCCTGTTGTTGACTTGTCTTTAGGATGGGGATGAAGCCATCATATTTATGCCACAGGAATTTTTGCTACATTTCTATTGTGCCTCCCTCTGTGCCTAGCACAAAGAAAGTGACCCATAATTCCTCAGTTTGGTAAGTCTGGCCTGTGGGAATATTAATCAAGAGCCAAGGGCTGTAGTTCGGCGGGACCTCAGGCCCTCTTCTCTCCTCAAGCTTACCTGAGCCACAGGAGCCTTCGCTGGCTTTTCAGCTCTCAGAGCACTGTTTGTGGAGGATGTGGGTGTTGCAGGACCTGCTTTTTCCTGAAATCTCCTTTCCTGTGGAGGTATTGCTTCCGGTCTCATTTTCTGTGCAACTGATACAAAAACAAGGAAGGCACAATGAACCCAGAGTAGTTGGTCTAAGACACGAAACAGTTTCAGTGAATCTCCCCCTCCTCCACCCTGAGGGTCCCCGAGGATGCATTTGCCTGCTTCTATGGCACCGGCCAGCCTGGCGCGTGGGGACCGTGGTCATAACGCAGGCAGGGGCGCTGTCATGCTCCCCGTCAGGAGTTCCCAGACTCCCTGTGCAGCAGCATGTCCTTCCTGTCCTCTGGATTCCCAAGTACCACAGTCAAACCCTTTCCCAACCCTTTCCTCTACCATTTCCCTGAAAAAACTTAAGGTTTTCATGATGCAGACTGGCTGGTCATGTTCCCTCAAAGGCCTGTTAAAATTACAGAAACGAGTGAAAGAAAATCTGGTATAGATTTGGGAGGTGGCAAATGGTGATACTGGCTTTTGAGTGTTTATCCTATCGGTGAGTGAAGGGGAGAGTTCTGTGCATCTCGGAGAGGTAGGTTTTCCTGTGAAGGACTGCATGCCCGTTACTAGAGAGGGTAATGATCCCGGAGTGAATAGTCTTAATAGAGAAGGCACATGAATTGGTTAAAGGTAAGTATGTTTTTAATAAGGCACAATTCTCATATTATTATTTTGTCATCTACTAACATTTCTAATGCCCTGGAAGCGTCAGCCTCTCATCACTCCTGTCTTTCACTCTTTATCCTCACCCTAAATACACCCCCAAGTACATCAGTATCCTTTTTGGAAAGGGGATGCCCTAAGTTGTCAACTCTTAGCTGGTTGGCCTCTGCAGTACTGACATTGTCATGGCCACTTAGTCATGAAAATATGATTTCATTTGTGATGGGACAAGTGGGGATTTTGGATTTTGACTTTTGAAAATACATTTTTATACTCCAGTGATTTTCTAAAAGGCACGTTCTTCCTGTCTCTGAAAGGCAGGCTTTTATTTAAGCCCTGCCTCTTATTTGTTGCTAGAGAATATAAATAATGGCGGAGTAAATATTGGAACAGGATATGCATATTAACTGATTTAAATATTTTTAAAATTCATCATTTTTTCTAATTCTGTCTTGTCATTGTCTAATCTTTATAATGTACGGAAGCCTCAGCCTTTCTCATCAACTCATGCTTCTTTTCTTTACCCACACCCCCTGGATACGCCCTCTAAAATACATCAGACCTCTTGGTAGGAAAGGAATTCTCTGCGTTGTCAGCCTGTTGGGGTCTGAAGCACCGCCACTGTCATGGTAGCTGAATCCTAAGTGGGGAAAGGTGTGTCGACCGTGACCAAGTCCAGGTCCTACTCAAGACTGAGGATGGTGCACAAACAGGGCTGAGGGGTTCTTCTCTATTACCTTTTAATGTCTCGTTTTTAAGAGTTTTAGCAAGGTCTTTATATATTTCTATGTCTTGGAGTAACTCTACTAGTTTGTCAACACAGGCAGCCCCTTGGAACTTGACCTCCATCAAGTCAGCAATCTTAATTCTGTCATATTTTTGTTGAGTTTTTGTAGTCAGTTTTAAATCAGGGGCCAGTAAAGACTTAATCATGCTGAAATGGAAATCATCGATGTGTTTCAATCCTTTCAGTAGAAGGATTTTCTTGTATTCATTCACCATGTCTCAAGTTATGGATGAATCTACAAGAGAAAAAGGACATGCAGTGTTACACATTTATGCAGACAATTCAAAAGACTGGTTGTGTTTATGTGAGTGAGTGGCTTGTGTGGGTGTGCTGTTCATGGGTGACAAATGAAGTGTTAATTACCAGATGTGTCACTATGGAATCTGGGTTGAGAACCTCTGCTTTAGGAAAGTCTAAGGAATTCTTTCATATCAATGGTGACAGTTGGGATGGGAGTGGGTGTGGTGGACAGAGGCCTGGAAATAGGCAGTTGTACCATGTGTAGAGCAGGGGCTGGATAGTGTCACAGTACCTGGTCCTCCTCCCATCCTTTCCTGGGGCAGCAGTTTTTCTCAGCATGCCTGTCTGTTGGCGCCTGACCCACCCCACACCCACCATGGGTGAAGCGGCCTCTGTGCAAATGGGCTGTGGCCTCCCACCTCATGTGACTATCCTTCTGCCACTCTACTGTGGGGACACTGCCCAGCCCGTGTGGCTCTTCCCTGGTCAGTTCTCATGAGCATCCCCTCTCCTAGAGCTTGGACCATGTTCTCTGTGCCCTCTGTACCCATATCACTGTCACTTTGCTGGACTTCGCCTGTGCTCTAGTGCAAAATCACTCTTTTCTGGGATTATTTAATAGTTACTTGAATTTCCTCTTTGCAGACCGATTTCTGTCATCAGTTATTATCACAGAGCCAGTTATCTCTGTAAAACCACATTTCTGCTCTGCTTGAAACCCTTCAACAGTTCTCTATGTTCTTTAGGAAAAAATTCCTTGATCCTTAGCCTGGCTTGGGAGGCACTGAGTAATCTGTCCCTTTTTCTCCCACTTTCCATTTTCCATATATAAGCGTCAGAACTAGGTAGGGCATCTTGCTATTTCGAGCTCTTTGCATGGAATGTACTTCCTATCTTTCCTCTTGAAAGGTAGACCTGGAGAATGCATGGTTTTCATAAAACCAATCAAATTTAACTTAAGTTCTGCCAAATTATTCAAGTATGCAAATGAACTCAGCCTGAATCCAATCATGTGGAAATTCTTACAGTGGACATTTTTGCAGAGTATTTTAAACTCTGAATCTAATTTAGCTTATGAGAATCAGTACTTGCAAAAAATGAGATTTCTTTCATTTTTTCCCTCCAGAACATGATTTTTAAAAGCTTAGACTTTGGAGTCCATAAGATTGGACTCCTAGAACATAATAATTTGGCTATATATTTCAATGGATACAACTAGAATGTAAATGATTGATTTGTAAGATTACATAGAAAGCTTTCCCAGAAGGAGATAGGGTAGAATTAAGAATAGAAAATAGAAAACCAAGTGTAAGACATGTCAAAATTCTGGTCAAAGTGTCAACATTCACATGTTATTAATTGCAAAAAAATAAAATGAAAAGGTGAAAATATTTGAAGAAATAATAGGATAAACTTCTTGGATTTAAAGTAACATGAACATCCTTAGATCGATCAGGTCAGTAGAGTGCTGAATCTGATAGTGGAAGGAAAATCCACACCAAGATACATTGTAAAGAAACAGAAGAATATTCAACACAAGAAGAAAAATTTGACAGCTTCCAGAGAAAAAGAGTTGATCACTTATAAAGTTTCAATATTAGATCCTCAACAGTAATATTGCAGTGTTTGACCCGAATCCCATATCTATACTTTTGAAACCTCTCAAAAATATAAAGCCAAAAGTTGTGTGTGCATGTGTGTGAATTTGATGACAAAATTTATTAGAAAAGTATCTGATCTGAGGTGGCAAGGATCTATATATAATTTAAAAAAAAACTCCACTCCACTGTGACTGTTCATATGTCTTGCTGCAGAAATATCAGTGCATTTGAGATGAGAAAATACTCTACCAGGCCTTCTATGTGATATGCTACCTATGGTGTGCACATTAAACAGCCTTTCTTCAGTCACTCAGATTCTGAATTCCAAACTAAATGTAACTCCAAGGGTTTCAGAGAGGTGTTGTCAACCTCAATTGAAGGAAAAATAATTTTGAAACAAGTGTTTTATATCCAGCCCAAATAATATCGAGATGTGATGGCCTAGAGCTGAATCTCTGATGGAGACCAACACAATTAAGATTCAAATTTGCAACACAAAGACGCCTCCCAAATACTCTTTTGGAAATAGTATTCAATGAGAACACAAAGAAATGGGGTTAAGAAAAGGCTGCAGGCTAAAAAGGAAGAGGGCACAAGGCCTTGATTGAATTTTGAATGTTTTAAAAATAAAGAAAGCCCTGACTGAAGAGAAATGAAACAAGAAGTAGATCATCACAAGGGAGAACATGGAGAAAAAAAGAGGATTTGAAGATTCATTAAGTTGCTTGTCCGTAAGCAGAAGTTAGAGGCATACGTTTGAAACCACTGTCAAAGACGAAGGAACACAGAATAAGTGTTTACAAGTGAGCGTTAACACACTGGCCAAAATACAGCCTGTGAGCCTGATGTCCATGAAGTGCTAAGCCCATTAAAAGAACAAACTTTTAAAATTGGATTTAAAAAATCTGCCTCTGTCTTGTTGACAAAAGTTAATGAAAAGTTTAAAAAAATAGTCGCAAGAAGTTGTATCATGCAGACATTAAAGAAAGCAGCGTATCTGTGATAGTGTAGCTTTAAATAGACCTGAAGACAAACACTTGTATTAGAACTGGTCTCACTGCTCTGTGATAAAGGGTTTAAGTTCCAGAAAGAAGCAGTGCTTTTCATTATGCATTTATTTCATCATAATAAATACTTATTATGTATAAGTAATTTACATCCCTTCCTATTATTATAAATATTATGTAGAATATTTCTTTTCATATATCCATATGTAGTATAGATATTAGAAACTGAGAAAGCACAAGGACAAATTGATGTAATGATGATTATCGTGTGGGATTTTAGCATATCTAAACTGCTGAATAAAGCACAGAAAAAAATCAGTAAATACTTAGAAAAATTGACAAACGCGATTAGGCTCAAATAAAAGGCTTGATGTAACGTGTAAAGAATTCTGAAACCAATATTTAAAATTTTACGTGCCTCTCAAAAGCACATGAAATGTGTAGGGACCAGGCTCTACAGGAAGACTAAAGCATTCCAAAAGGTAGGTACAGATTTAATTGTCTCCACTTCCTTACTGCCTACACATTCTCACCACCAAAGACTGCCTCTGGTCTTGAGAAAAGTGGGAAGTTAGCTCCAAAAGAACTGAAAACCTGCCTCTAATGCCTGGTGGATCCAGGAGCTAAACCATTTATGCAAATCCGAAGACTCCATGTATTTGAGTAACCCTCTGTTTGTGAAACTGAGAGATGTTCTATTTCGTTTGTGTGTTCTCCTGCTTTGTAAAACTGGGATAATACTATATAATACAGTTTTATGAAAAAATGTGTTTTTTACCTAGTATTTTTACACACTAATTTTTGATAACACTATCTTGTCTTTAAGCCAGACTCCCACCACAGCCATTCAATTTCCTGTGCACTTTCTGGTAAGAAAACTAAAGCTTTCTTCTAAATATTACCTTATGCTATAAACACCAGAAGAATCGATTTTAAAATCTGTAATAGAATACATTTTTCACATTCTGTGGAACGAATGCTTTATCACACTTCAGTTGTGATGAAATGAAAGACTTCTATTGGCTAAGTGAAGAATTAGACTGAAGCTCCTGTGGTTTTTCCTTTACTGAATACAGTTGATAACCAGCCTTTCTCCTCATCCCTACTCAAAAGACTCAGAAACTAATTCTCCTCCTATGATCTTGTGGATATCAACAAGATCCTTCTAGAAAAATCCTGACTGGACTTACCTCACTGAAAATTCTCCACAGTAGCCCAGATCTTGAGATTTTCTCCAGAAACACAGCAATCAATATTTCTCTTGTTTGCACAGGAAGATAAATCAGTTAAACTCTCAGAAGCTGAACTGCAAGAAGCTGCACCCTCCTGAAATGCTAAGAAATGAAGTATTTGCAAGGATAAGATAGAGAAGCAGGAAAAGTCACTTAATAACTTGACTAGCTGACTAACTCATACTGTGCCAGTCCTCAGAGACAAAAAGTTATGAAACAATTCTGAGACTCCTCCCATCAACGTCCTTAGCTTTCTACTTCCTTAGCCAGAGAAACCGAACAGTTTCCTTGATTGAAAACAGTAAACATCTTAGCACAGTGAAACATTAGACCTATAGTATTTAATTTTTTTGTTTTACAAATGTCTGAAAGGCGTTACAACATTTGAACTTTCTAATCCAGCAGATTTAAATATGGGGTGGTAGACACCAAAGGCCCTTAAGCAAGACTCAACTATCCAAAGGGGGGAAGTGAAAAACTTAGGCACATCTCCCGCCTTTCCGGCCACAGACTGGCAGTGGCAGGAGGTCTTGGTAGCCGAACCATCTCTGCTGGTATCTTAGTGGACCTGTTGGATGGAGGAAGATTGTCCCTGGAAGTTGCTTGCAGTTTCAATAGCATGTGATACATTTACATAATTATTACCAGTTGACACAGCCCAGCATAAACTCGTTATTTACATATACATGCTTCCTGGAGTATTTGAAAATGGATTGTGCAGTATTGTCCTCCTGCCTATAAGTAGGGTTCATTACTTCACTGAGGCAATTTCATGATCGTTCTTGCCTCTTAGAGTTATTCACAGACAGACAGACAGACACGAGTGATGAATTTTGGAAGAGCGCTGAGTTCCTAGAAGGGCTGAGGGCTTCATCAACATCTTTTCTACTAATCTTTTTTCTATGTAGTACAATGGATACTATTTGGAGAATTGCAACCCTGAAATGTCACATAAACGGAACCAGTAGCGTATAGGATTGTGGTCACCTCCATCTGATCCATGACTGAAATGAAAAAGGGTCCCAAAGACCAGCTCCCTTTGGGGGATGCCTAAGGTCATCTGAAGGGAGAAGAAGACTGTTTGGGTGAATTCTCACTAGGTTGTGGAGGACAGAGTCACAGTCTGGATTTGACAATTACCTGAATATATAGGAATAAGTCAGAGAACATCACGGAGGATCTGGCATGGGTGTCACAAAAGCCAGTGGGTTTTCACAATTCTTCAATACAGACTTCAGAGCTGCATATGTGGGTGAATTGAGGAATCAAATAATAAAGGGTAGAGGGACATTAGGGAGGCCTGAGGGTCCCCAAGCCAGAGGCCAGGAGACAAAGGACATGTGACATATATGTCGACAATCCAGTATATTGTCTTTTCCTTTTACTAGAAATTAACTTATGTCGAGTGACATCCTGTCGGTTCTCATGAAATACACTCTAAGGTCATGAAATACAATTTAAGATTCCGGACATGAATTTTAGTCAGACTGTGTGTAAGTCCCTGCATCTATTTTACCTTGGTGAGCATTCCATGTACACATGAAGAAAACAACATACATTATTGTCTGATCCACATAAATAAAGGTAAGTCAGATGGGTTTGCCCCCAAATCCATCCTGTGCAGTTGGAATTTTAAAAGATGGACCAAAGAAATGAAAAGGAAATATGCCCTTTTCCTGACTCTCAGTGGCCAAACGATGGATGATTCGGGCCATTGAAGGGGTATAAAGTGACTTACGAGGCCCTTAATCTACTAAAGGATGAGTGTTCCAGAATTTGCAAGGCTTCATTGTTATAATGATATAAGTTAACTGGGAGATAAGCCAGGTGGGAATGAGAATTTTTAATGTAAGGAAAAATGCCTGGAAAAAACCTATGTGACCGCCTATCATCTCAAGTGCTGTTTGAGAAAACCGTTCAAAATCCTGAGTCTCCACCACATTGACGCCCTATGTTTAGCTGATACTAGAAATTTCCTAAGGAGAGGAGCTAGAGTGGGCAGAGAGCAATTGCACCAAGAAATAGCAGTCCTTAAAATTCTATTTAGACTTTGGGATAAAGTTATAGGGGAAAAATCTGTCGTCTCAGCAAAGAAAATGGATAGGGAATGTGTGTTGGCTAGAGTCGTATCAAACCTTTTCACCTCCTATGCCTAAGGGCCAGAGCAAAACTGATTACTTCACATAAATCAAAACAAGTTGATTTATGCACTTACCAAGGTATTAGCCCCCTGAATTTTAATCCTTTATAAGAGACAGCATTTGACTATATTAATTTTCTTTATGTGTTTTGTCTGTTTGCCTACTGTTTACTCCTCATTTCTTTTGTTTATATCTACCTGTGTGACATTGTATACAATGTGCAAAATCAAGTTATGTATTGATTTCTGCTTATAGTTTTGTTATTTCTATACACTATTTTGTTTCCTTTGCTGTTTTTTCTAGTGTTGCAACACACACATTTATATCAGTTATATTACTATTTTCTTTCAAAATTTGAACACTTAAATAATTTTTTCTTGTAAGTACTATTTTTACTTCATTCTCTAGGTTTTATGGAGTGTGTTTGCATTGTCCCAATTAACCTCAGCCATGTATTAAACAATGGCTTGTTTTTGAATGTGTTGTGTAATTTCAAGATGGTTGAGGATTTTCTAGATGTCTTATTGTGGTCATGGAACATAAGATTCCAGGAATGATTTTTACTGAGATGAACTGTTAAATCTCTGCATCTATTTTACTTTGGTGAGCATTCCATGTACAGGTGAAGAGAAGGTAGTCTTCAGTTGTTTTTATGGCCTTCTTTAAATGTAAATTAGATCATATTGTTTGCATATAGTGTTAAAAATTTTCAGGATCTTTTCTGTTTTTCTTGTTTTATCAGTTATTGAATCAGAGGCTTTAAATATCTAACTATGGTTGTTTTTCTTATATTGCATTTAATGCTATTAGCTTTTGCTTTATAATTTTGAAGCTCTGAATTTAGATGCAGTTACAGAATTGTTAGCCAATTCTGATATATTAGCCAAGATATTCCCCAAGCTTCTCTTTTTGTGAGGACGCCAGCTGACTTTTCTCTGACTCACATCAGGGTTTGGTTTCAGGCTTTGTTAGGGTGTGTTCTATACTAGTCCCTGCTTTGGTGCTTCGATGTCACTCCCAAGATTCAGTTTCTCTGGTGTCAAGCTGAATGGCAAGGCTGGTAAACAATATGTCTACTTTGGTGACCTCCAGTGTCCCTTGTACCACCTGCTCTGTTACACCTGTATTGTTTCTCTCTTCCAGTTTTATTGAGATATAATTGACATATTACTGTTGTATAAAGTTAAGGTATATATGTTGATTTGATACACTTACATATTGCAAAATGATTACAACTGTAGCCTTAGCTAGCACCTCCATCGTGTTACACAATTACATTACTTTCTTGTGATGAGAACATTTAAGGTCTACTCTCTTAACAACTTCCAACTATATGATACATTACTGTTCACTGTGATCACAACGCTGGGCATTAGATCTCCGGAACTTACTCCTCTTACCCCTGGAAGTTTGTTCACTTGACCAATATCTCCCTATTTCCCCTACCCCCCTAGCTCCTGGTAAATACCATACTACTCTCTGTTTCAATGAGTTTGGCTATTTTAAAATTCCACATACAGGTGAGATCATATGAGATCTTCCTCTGTCTTAGTTCACTTGGCATAATTTCCTCTAGGTCCATCCAGGTTGTGACAAGTTTCTTATGGCTGAGTAGCGTTCCACTAAGTATATATGTGTATGTGTATATGTATTTTTTATTTTATTATGTAGTGTATTTTCTCTACATGTTTTCTTTCTCCCTGGGTTTTCTTTATCCATTTATCCATTGATAGACACTTAAGCACTTAGGCTGTTTCCATGTTTTGGCTATTGTGAATATAATGATGTAATAAACATGCAGGTGCAGATACTCTTTGACATCCTCTTATCATTTCCTTTGGATATATACCAGGAATTGAGGTTGCTGGATCATATAGTACTTCTATTTTTAATTTTTTAAGGAGCCTCCATACCTTTCTTTCATAGTGGCTGCAATGATTTACATTTTCAGCAAGAGTGTACAGGGGGTTCCCTTTTCTCCACATCCTTGCCAGCATTTGTTATCTCTTATCTTTTTGCTAATGGTCATTCTAGCAGGTACGAGGTGCTACCTCATTGTGATTTTAATTTGCATTTCCTTGACAACTAGTGATGTTGTACATCTTTTCATGTACCTGTTGGCCATTTGTATGTCTTCCCTGGAAAAATGTCCATTCAGTTCCCCTGCTTGTTTTTTAATTGAATTGCCTGTTTTGTTTTGTTGTTGTTATTGAGTTGTATGAGTCTGCATGTGTATTAGATATTAATCCCTCATCAGATATATGGCTTGCAAATATTTTCTCCCATTCCCTAGACTGATTTTTCATTCTGTTGACTGTTTCTTTTGCCTTTAGTTTGATATAGTCCCACTTACTGATTTTTGCTTTTGTTGTGTATTTGTTGTATATGGTCTTTCTTACGTTGAAGCACATTCCCTTTATACCCAATTTGTTTTATCATGAAAAGAAGTTGTATTTTGTCAAATGCTTTTTCTGCATCTATTGACAAGATCATAAGATTTTTTATCTTTCATTCTACTTAATGTGGTGTATCACATTTACTGCTTTGCATAAATATGTCGAACCATCTTTGCACCACAGAGATAAATCCCACTTGATCATGGTGCGTTCTCAACTCCATAGCCACTGCTGTCTTGTTGGTCTCATGCCGTCTCACCCACGTATGTGCAGCCAAGGATTCAGCCAATCAGCGTGCCACCTCTGCATAGCTCCCTTCTCTTCAGAATCTCTGAGAAGTGGTGGTCTGGGTGTGTCGGTGTACGTATTCCTTTGTGGAAGAGAAAGAGGGTGTGATGCTGTGTAGGGTCAACCACATTCGTCTGCTGTGGGATTCTTGGTAACATGAATCAAAGCGAACTGTGAATACAGTAATGCAAGTCCAAATACTGACATATTCAGGTGTAACCACATGCATTTAAAATTCCCTGCATTTCAGACTCCCTAAGTCAGCCATCTTTGCATTCTAAGCAGTAGTAATTAAACTAGAAAAACCCTTACTCATTATACTCCTCCATATAATTGCCAGAAAAAAAATGCAAAAGCTA